ACCAATGAATTATTACATTACAAATAGCAATAATTATGTCCGTCATCATACTCTTCACAATATTTTTATCTTTCTGATGAAATGGTAAAAAATTGTACAATACGATAGGATGAGTAAACACAGATTTTATACACTCTTCCAAAAGTGTGGGGTCATTTGGACTTTCTTTTGAAAGATATAATAAAGATATTAAAAGGATCTTATAATTATCTATTTGAGTTGTCGTTAAAATATCTCGTTTAGTAAATTGTGTTAAATAAAATATAGTCATCTTGAATAAACACATGATTTCATATGATGATAAAGAATGACGGATTGTAATAATCTCATTATTGTACTTAAAAGTAACTGTATTGTCACCATTAAATATTTCATTTATCTGAATTTTAGTATTACTTAACAATACTAGATCCAATTTAGCCATTACAACCATTGAAGGAAGTACTTCTTTAATATAAACAGGATTATTGCTCGCTAACCAGCTAAGTAAATATTTTTTGATTGGTAATTCTTGAATATCTTTTGTTAAATGTATTAAACATTCAGGTGCAACTTGATAATGTAACGTATGTACTAATACGTAAGAAGCGTAACATAAAGTAGTTGGATGCAAATTTTTCTTCATTTTACGTAATATATAACATAGGACAGGCGATATCGATGTGAGCCGTTGCATGCGTAAAACATTTTTTTCTAAACTTTCGTGAATAGTATCCATATCTGCCAATTCTAAAAGTATACGAAAAAAAAATATTGCAAGTAGACTATAATGTAAAACACACTTAACAGCTGAATTAATTCTTACCATTAAATATGTCTTCTAATCGACCCGCCGGAATTATTCCTTCATTTATAATTTCTTCTGTTTTAATTATTTCATTAACGTATTTGTCAACATCTTTAGCAGCTTTCTTTAGAATATTTATAAACCAATTTATTATTTCTTCCTTTTCATCTATATTCACGAACCCATTAATCCAGATATCTATTTGATCACTACATCCTTCAAACATTCCAGTAGTATTTAATAAAATTTTAATTGTTGTCTTTATAGAAGTTGAAATTGGGAATACTTCTCTATTTAAAAGAGATATTAAAAATGACAGTACATCGCTAAATATGTCCTGAAACACAGTTAATTCTTAGTAAAAATGTAATTTAAACAAGTCGAAGTAATCATTTGTTTAAGTTGTAATAGTTTATATACCTGTTGTGGTGAAAATTCAGTAGGATTTGACATAACTAAGAATTGTATAGTTTTTACTTTTATAGTATTAAATTCAGTAAGGTCAACATCGTGTAATTCGTTCAGTGTATTTAAAAATACACTAGGTTGCAAATCCGATAATGTATGCAATAATTTTGGACTTATATCTTCATACTTGTGTAATAAATTTAAAATGGCTGTCAAATGTTCATATTTTTTCGGTTCTGGAATATGTTCTGTATTAACATTGCTATCTTGAATTGGACTCAATACAAAGGCCAAACTCCATAGTTTCAATATCATATTTAAATTGGGAACATTCTACAATATCAACAATTTTTATTCGATATAGTTAAAGTATCATTATAGTGTCTAAAAATGTATGCACTAATACATATTATTCTCTTATGCTACTTACATATTTAAGTAATAAATATATACCTTTATCATAAGTTCTAATACTGTATTTTTAAATGTATTAAAATCACTGTCCTCATTGTAATTTTCTCTTGCAACTATTAAATATTTTTGCATTTGATCAAACATAGTTGTAAGTGTAAGTACTGCCTCATGTCTTACTACTATATTAGAATGACTTAAAGAGGGTATAACTGCATTTTTCACTATTACTTGTGGTAGAGTTAAAGACATTATTGCATTAGCTAATTGAGATACACTTAATTCCATTGAGCAAGTTTTCAAACAAGTTCCTATGTCCACTGATTTAATAATCTGCAATAAAATTTAATTATTCTCCAATTTCTACAAGTTTTTCAATTTTAGCAAAATTTTAAGAAACAATATTAGAACAATATTTATAATATTAATTTTTTCTATTTCTTTATTCCAAGAAGTTGATCAAATTGGCTTCTGATATTTAGTTTCCATATATTTATCTTAATTACCTTTCTCACAAATCTTATTGTTGCAATCCATTTTGTTGATACTCTAGGTTCAATGTGTGGTTCCAAAAGACTAAATTGGGATTTAATTAAGTCTGGACATGCTGTCATAATTTTAATTACTAGATCTGATGGTTTTTCATGTTCCCAAGGTCGATCTAAACTTTGAAGTATTGTGCTAACTAATTGATTATGCTTCGCATGCGACGTACCAAGGGTACGGTCATAGAAAACAATACCATGTCGATGAGATGTAAATAATATAATTAAGAAACTGTGCACAGTGTCGGTAACGATCTAAATTTTAAAAAATTCTTGTAAGTTAACAAAATAAAAATAAAATATCATTTTTCCTATATTATTTATAATCAACTATTAAACTCAAAAACTAAAATTTAATTACTTTTGCTTAAGGTATACATAATTAGTAATAATACCTCTTTTTCTTCAAGATATTGTGGATTTGCTTTGAAGTTTTGAATTTTATTCTTTGGCCAGTTGTTTGGACCTTTCCAATTATATAGACATACAAAATTTCGGATAACTGATGTTGAGAATATATGTAACTTCATACTTTTGCTAATTTTTGAATTTTGAAGAATGTAAGTTTTCAATGTAGTTATAATTAAAGCAATAATATCTTTAGAATCATATATCATATCATGAAATATACTAGAAAGTAAATTGTGTTTGTCTAAGAGAGTTCTAATAGTTGATACATTTCCTTCTATTAAAAACGAAAGAATGAAATGAATAAAACAATTCCTTATATTGTGCTCATCTGTAGGCTTTGTTTGTCGTACAAGAGATTTAATGATTTCTGGTAATAGAGACAGATGAGTAAGTAATTCACGTGGGAGATTACCACCTAAGGAAACAATTACAGCAAGTAATTGTAAAACTACTTTTCGCTGTTTTGCATTACTTTGTACAGAAAGCATAGAATGTACCATTGATAAGTGTGAATTAATTAAATGTCTACATGCTGCTTCTGCACTAGATTGTTGTTGTGGATATTGTGCTAAGATCCTACGAAAAAAGAAGATATAAGTTGACAGAAGTTTACTTAGTAAATTATTCTTTCTTAAAAATGTAACATGTGCAAGTATAAAGATATATATCAAAGACATACTTTATTAATAATATCCTTATTGCAGAGAAAACAGTTGTCACAGCACCAATATTTTTCTTATTATCTGAGGTATCCAATAACTTTAGTACCTCAATGATATTGCCACCTGCATCTAAATATTCTGCAGCTAAATCCTTTTCATTACTGTTATTACAAATTTTTACAAATTTCTTTAATGTTTCTAAAGCACTAGCAGAATTGAAACTAGCCCTTAATGATTTTCCATCTAATTCTTTTACTTGTACAGTCATCTCATCTTTGTTATTACCTTCTACATCTGTAATTGACTACTTGTACATAATTCTTAAAATAATAATTTGATATATACAGGTGTATCCCAAACATATGAGAAATTCAATTCGATGCCACTGTTATAAATGTTATAAATGTAAATCTCATGCCATACAATGAATTGTCATAAAGTGGGATACACTTGTAATATAATAAAATATATATAATACTTTTTAATGATTTTGTATTCTCCATTTCTATACTTTCTTCAAATTTTGTAGATACTTCTTCAGTAAATTCTTCAGCACATTCACTACTATTTACATCACGCATAAATGAATCAGTTTCGTGCTTTTTTTTTCGTTTTTTTATCACACCATTTTCTTTGCATGATAAACTCTTTTCAAGCATGTCTATATCGTTTAGTTTAACATCACCATTGGCATTAACATTACCTACATAATTAATGCCTTGAATTAACATCTTTCTTCAAGTTGTAAGTCAAATTTAATACATAATGATTCAAAATTAAAGAATGTTTCAATATACTTTTATGTCATTAATATCACGAAATTTCTCTTCAAAGTATACTTTCCAAAAACACATTTTGACATAAAGGCAAGTACTTTTTAAAAAGATACAAAATTTCTATTCACGAAACAATTATTATATTTTCAACATAAAATAGAATGAACTTACTTTTCTCCTCTATTTCAACTTTCCTTTTTCTTTTTTCCTTAATATTAGTTTGCGTATTGTGTGATTTGTCGTCTGTTATCTTGTTTTTCATGGTTTCCAAAAGTTTGATTGTATATAAACATTAGGAACTATACGTTCGAATAGATTTGTCTCGCAGTCTGATAACAAGAAATTTAATTTTCAATTTCTCGACATAAAGGAAACACAATTTCTCCCTTAAACAATTAACATAACCTATCTGATACGTAACCACGTGCGTTCTTTCAATTGTATACAATCGTAGCCATCAATTCTTGCACCCGCACAATTCTATCCCCACTTTTCCTATCCATGTTTCAGATTCAGACCAATCAGGACTCTTTCTCGTTTAGAATAGGACGTATAGAACATTTATTACACATAATCTTCACCAGTAGCATTTTTAAATACGAAAATTGATCAGAGTAATAAAAATATCTTTAATTTATTAAGTACGTGTGTACATAAAATCATATTTTTATTTATTCACGACGTACTCTTTGTTTCTAATTCGTATGTATAATGACAAACGCTTCTATTGTTAATAGAACGTTGAATTAATATTGTTAAATTGCTACAATTACATTATTCTTATGAATATTTTCACTTTTTTTTTCATAAATAATCTAACTAGCCATCTCTGAATTTTGTCCAGTAAACTTCCGCATAACGCTAGTTCCTGCAACGCGTTAAAAATATTGCGACTTTCGTTCACACGCTAGATAATTTATTCATACTGTACGAGGAAAATGATTGTATAACACGGTCTCATACAACACAAACGTAAATACGATACCGCGTTATACGGAGTTCTGCTGTACCTCTTTGATGATATAGTACCGGCCAAATCTATTGGTAAAACAGTACAGGGTATTCTCGAATTACTTCTTCTCGTTCGTACCTCGTTCGCCAAGTCACATCACAGAAGTCTGTAAGAAAAGTTCATCGAATATGGCACTCTCTTTTGGTATGTGCGAAACTCCTGGCTGCAAAACTATGGCCAGCCTTCAATGTCCAACATGTTTGAAAATTGGAATACAAGGCTCGTATTTCTGCACCCAGGTAAGAATTACGATGCGTTTATAGGTTAGGTCTGGAGAATTTTCGTGCTTAATATTTGGATTTCATATACGTATCGCGTGACAGTGACTAGTAAGAGTTCGAATTCAAATTTTTTGTTATAGTCGCGTTATTTTTGCAGTGATCGTAATGTAGGGTCGTCACTCAAGGCTGTTGCTAATTTACTAATGTTACACGTTTTTTTATAGCTATAAGAAGTAGAGTTACAGTACTTCTCATTTGTAAATAAATTAACACGTTACTTGCCGAACGAATTTTTGTATGCCTTTCTCACTATGAGGTGTTCTGGGTTATTTTTAACATTTTCTCATACTTATTGGTTTATAGTATTATCAATGATATTAACATTATTCAGAATTTCATAAGTATTAGGATTTGTTTAATAACATATTGACAGTGAACATTGATGTTTGTTATGATACTCAACTTGTTAATTCAGATTCTTTGAATCATTTTGTTCATTTTTGAATATACTTGTTATAGACAGATATTGTTCCAAGTTTTAATTTATTATTCTTAAGTATATTGACATTTTATTGCTATATTTCAGGATTGTTTCAAACGGAGCTGGAAATTACATAAAATTATTCATCAGTTTGCGAGTGAGTTTAATAATCAGCACTTATGTGATACGTGTCTATAGCAATAAATACGAAAATTTGAGGAATAATACATGCTGTTAGTAATTCATAATAGCAATTATTAATGCTGATTTTATTGAAAATATACTTAGGTAATTCAACATCAAGTAACTTGTAAAGATTGTGTTCTTAACTAGAAGGAACATACGTATATATATAGTCTCTTTTGTAATGCAGTGTCGAGCTTTTGCTCATACCTGCATTGGATCTCTTTTCTTCCACCTTTATTTTTTATTCTATTTTGTTCTGGTCCAATCAGACTATATATACTTTTAATGATCTATGTGTCTTTTGCCGTGCTTCTTATAAGATCTCTTACCTTGAGCCCTTTGGCCTCATTCCCATTCCTAGCCACAAGGAGGCGGATCATATTTCTATTTTTCTGTCTGTTTTTCTTTCTTTCATTTATTATCTGCCTTGTCATGCCATTGAACCTCACGAACTCGATCTCCGTCTGAATCAGAACTAGAAGGAACAGGTGGAGACAAATCTTCTAATGAATATAATCCGTGGCCTTCTTTTCATTACACTGGTAAATTACGACCTTACAAAAAGGAACCTCGCCGAGAAGTACCCGAGCATATCAAACGTCCAGATTATGCTACACACCCTACTGGAGTTCCTGTAAGCGAACAAGCAGTAAGAGGTTCTGCCCAAATAAAAGTGCTTGACGATGAGGAAATTGAGGGCATGCGAGTAGCTTGTAAGGTATGATAAGTATAGTTATTGAAAATTTAATAATGATTTTGTAGTTTGTATTCATATAAAGCTGTCTTGTACAGTATTCTAGTATAAATTTCTTTTTCTTTTGGCATACATTATTTTTATTTTAACAAAAAAGAGATATATAAATCAGTATTGTACACATAGCTTGGGCGTGAAGTTCTGGATGAAGCTGCACGTACCTGTGATGTAGGCGTTACAACAGCCGAAATCGATAAAGCAGTTCACGAGGCTTGTATCGAAAGAGACTGTTATCCATCTCCACTCAATTATTATCAGTTTCCAGCTAGTTGCTGCACTTCTGTAAACGAAGTGATTTGCCATGGTATCCCTGATACTAGACCCCTTCAAGATGGAGATGTTTGCAATGGTATTACGTGTTACATTATTATTGTAAATTTAATGTTAATGTAGGTACAGTAATTTCATTATTTATTTTCGTTTCCAGTTGATGTAACTGTGTACCATAATGGTTTTCACGGTGACTTAAATGAAACATTTCTAGTCGGTAATGTGAAACCCGAAGTAAGAAAGTTAGTGGAAGTTACGTATGAATGTTTATCAAAAGCTATTGACATTGTACGACCCGGTGAAAAATACAGGGAGATTGGAAATGTAATTCAAAAACACGCACAGGCACATGGATTTAGCGTAGTGCGCAGTTATTGCGGACATGGAATTCATCGTTTATTTCACACTGCGCCAAGTGTACCTCACTATGCTAGTAAGAATCTCGTTCGCAACCGATATATTAAATTGAGCATTCTAATGTAATTTTTCTTTATGTAGAAAACAAAGCTGTGGGCGTCATGAAGCCAGGTCATTGCTTTACTATAGAACCAATGATATCACAGGGTACATGGAGAGACGAAATGTGGCCTGATAATTGGACAGCAGTGACTGCAGATGGTCAATGGTCAGCGCAGTTCGAGCAAACGCTGTTAGTTACAGAAACGGGGTGCGATATTCTTACAAAACGATTGACACATGATGGCAAACCATGGTTTATGGACCGATCGTAGTAGCATTTCTTTCTGAATCATTGTCAATGTGTGACGTCATTTAAAATTTCGTGAATGTGTAAGTGCTGTACTGCTTAAGTACTTTTGTTTTTCTTCGAGCGAGATTTGTTTTTTCAGGACTCAACTTCAAAATTAACAATTCAAATTGTATCCAGTAAGATATTTTTTACGAAGCGGTTGTTTTTTTGGCTAATTTTATAAAATGAGATAAAGAACAAGGAACAGGATCCTTGAAAAATAAAATCTCGTTAGATTTTTGTTTGTACCCGAAATGGCTCTTGTACCATATAGATTATCTCATTGATACATATGTATATACATATACATATAAGTGTAGCTCAAGTTGATGAAGCGCAATGATTTAAATAAAAAATGAATTCTGTAAATCAATGGCAGCATCTGTCCCTTCTTTTACAACCAAGAGCGAGTAACAATAACGAATTATCTAACAATAAATAATCTTAAATAAATTACTATATTCTCCGCGTGACTGTTTTCAACGTATCGTCGACGGAAGCAAGTTCTATCGACGTACCTTGCTAAAACAGCCCCTAATTTTCCATTTTAGAGAAACTTTATCGTTGTCAAGTCGATTGAACAAAAACCCTGAACAAAGCTAACCGATTAATAGGATTGTAATAAATATTTATGATATGCTAACTGGTATTAAACAATTTCCTGACAGTATAAAAAGAGACAGATTAACGTGTGATTTTAATGGCCAGCATCCATCTCAAAATAGTTCCTTCGGCAGTTAATGCAACAGTTTCGCTGATTCTGTTCCTATTGGGGAGCTTCATCTCATAAAAGTCTTCATACGATTCACCATAATTATTTCTTCCTGAATGTCCTCAACTTTGGCAAATTCTAAGAAAGAACAAAACCTTTTTGATTTTTCTAATTTTACTATCTGCAGCTTTTTCATTGCTTCTAAAATCCAGACGCAGCTCTAAGGTGATTTCGCACAGTTGAAGAGAATCCCGGAAGAGGAGGATTATCTCGAGCAATATTAAGAAAGACGACTATTAGAAGTTCCATCGATGACGGAATCGGTGTGTTCGTTGCATTAATTTTCAAGAGAAATAATTTGAGTAATTAGTCTGTCATCCTTTATGGAATCAGTACAGGAATTGTTTGATACCACTTTGCATACACAATACTGTTCAACAGCGGTGTTATATCGCACTCTTCGGATTCAAACGTGATCCAAATTCACCGTTCGACTGATCGTAAGTTGTTCTCCCATCGAAAGAACCGTCGGATCCCGAGTTTGTAACGTCAGCTTCCTCGTTCTCATATTCGTACTCGACCTCTGTGTTTTGCTTTGTCTCTTCATTTTGCAACTCCCCGTTGCTATACTCGTTTTCATCCGGCACCATAATTCTCAGTGGTCGTTTAATACTATACACGCTGCTTTGGCGTTGACGATGCCTGTCGTACTCTTTTCGTTCTTCCTCGTACTCCTGCTCTTGCTGATTATGTCGTTGCTTCTGTCGATTCTGCGCTCGATCTTGGTGAGACTTGTGATCGTAGCGATCGTCGTCGTTAGTTTCTTGATCCGTTTCGTACTCCTCGTGTTTGTGATTGGGAGGTATGGGTTCCTCGTTAAGTGTAGTTTCTTGTTGCTGTTGCTGTTGCTGTTGTTGCTGTTGCTGTTGCTGTTGTTGCTGCTGCTGCTGTTGTTGTTGTTGTTTTCGAAGTTGTCCTATCAGTTGACTATTGACGTTTCCAGCTGCTGCTAACGCTGCCAGCTTTTCGGCTGCCTCGCGATTCGGTAGCGTCGTGTAGAATTGCGTGGATATGCCATCATCGTTAGCGACTTTGTTGTAGTACGTTGTCTGACTGTTCTGCTCGTTCGTTTCGTCGTATTCGATATTGTTCTCCAATTGTTCTGGCCCGTCGGCGATATACGCGAGATCCTCGTTCTGGCGCAGATTGTTGGCTTCCTGATCGTCTACGGAAGCCTCTGATCCCACATTGTAGTTGGTGTTAACTCTTTCAGCTACGTAATCCTGATTGAACAAAACCTGCTGTTGCTGCTGCTCCTTGTTATCTTGCTCGTCGTAATTGAAGGATTGCATCTGAGGCTGAGAGAAACCTGTTACGCCGGTAGGTTGGAAGAATTGACCGAGTTGCTGCTGAAGTATGTGTTGTTGAAGTTGCGGCTGTTGACCTGGAATCAAAGTGCTTCGATTTATATCTCGTTACTTTACTGACGTCGTTAGTCGTATGGATGCCCTACATCGATAAGGTTTATTTCTATTCTGACACGTATATTTTAGTGAACGTTCTCATCTCGCGATCTAAAAATGATCGATCAACGCTTACATCTTCTCAGTTCGATCTGGTTTGATTTACGTCGATGATATATGCACAATTTATTAACGCGTTTCAAGTATTTACGACACATAAAGCTATTGTATCGAAAAAGCGAAGTCATCCATGTGAGACCTACCCATCTGGTACTGTTCTGGTATTTTTTGAGGGAAACTGTTCAATAGATCGTAAAGTTGCGTTGCCGAGAGCGGCGGACCAGCTGGAGCTGGATGGCCAACGTGTAAATCAGGTATTTGTTGATTTATGATGTACGGCGTTTGGCCAGCCGTGCCTGGGAAACCAACGTGAAGAGAACTGTGAAGATTCGTTTGCATCGGTAGGTTCTGTTGTCCAAGCGGAATGTTGGTTCCGATCAGGCCTATGTTCGACGCTGGATGATTATTCAAATAGACGTCGTTCGATTGCAGATCAGGATTCACTATAGTCGAGAGCCCTGTTGCGTATTCCGGGGGCAGGAACGTCGGTAGAATAGTTTGATATTCTTTCTGATTAATATCGTTACTTTCGGTGACTTCGTACTGATGATGAGTCGGCGTAGGACTGGTCACTGTTCTTTGCGGTGCCAAACTTGTGCTTATCGTAGCGATATCGAAATTTTGTACCAACGATCCTGTGGAAAAAAGTAAAAACGTTACTGCGTTTATATTTTATGTGGATACTAATTATCTGATTCGAAGTGAATCGATATTAAATTTACTCGTATTACTAAGAACAGGTGATGTATTCGATTTGTTTGGACCAGAGAAATTTATCTTACCATTCGACTAGGAAGCGAAGTGAAACGGAAGAAACCGTTATAATAACACATCATAGTTAACGACTAACCGTGAGGATTAACTTTGTAAGTAGAGTCGGTGGTAAGCTGGCGTTGAGGAGCCATCTGTACGTTCGCCTCGTTATTGAAAGGCTTGTCCATGGGGCTGAGATTAGGTGCTGGAATAGTATGAATTGGTCCTTTGTCGTCGTCGACACCGCCTCTGTGAGTTGGCGGTAGAACCGCGGCTTCCGGTCTGTACTCTGGGCTAAATTCCGGCATTTTGTTCACTGTGTGAAACTCTTTAACGGGTGGACGCTGCGGAAGAACAGCGATGTTGTTCATAGAAGCTCGAATTGGCATTTGATTCTTCCAAATGGCATGGGGTACGTTGAACATCGGTGGCCGACGAATTCTAAAAGAATTTACGAGGTATAGTATAGTAGTTCCCGGGCGCATAAAAAATATCAGGACTAGAAATTCTCGATTAGTCGAGATTGGTTGCGAATCCAGGAATCGATTTTTCGTGGAAGAGTGAACTATATACATGACGAGCATGTCTCTTATTATACAAGATGTTTTACTTAAATGGTGGTTGATATCTTATAAGGAGATGAAACTAACAAAAAAGATGTTTCTACAAAAGTTATTCGATTCGAAATAGCAAATTCAATGGAGTATGCAATCTTTTTGCAAAATTTAGTAAAATGGTGGGGGAGATTTAAGCAGGAACGGCGATAGGGATGATTTTTCGTCGTTTGCTCGGAGTAAATTTTGTTGCTACCTCACACGAGATTCACCTGTAATTAGGAGGCTTATGAGCCATCCGTTTTGGCGGGAAGTTACCATTGATGTACATCGTGTTCCCCACCGAGATCCTGTGGGCGGCGATCGGCCAGGACTTCTTGTACATCAATTTCAGCGGTTGCGGCGGTGGAAGCGGAGGTCTTCTCATCTTGTATCTGGCCTCGACGAGGCATATGTACGCAACCAACAGGCAACAGACCCAATTTGTTGTCTGAAATTTGGTAAAGAGAGCGTGTCGGTTGGTCTACTATCCTTCGTGAAAAGGTGAAATTGTGACTTGGGTCAGCGCCCAGCACACAGCTGTGAACGGTTTGTTGGCCTTTTAGCACCTACGCTTCTTAACCATTTGTGTCTCTTAACAGGAATTCTTTGGAAATGCGTAATTTTCTGTAGGTTTTGTGAAGATGGTAAATCTATCTAAAATTCCACTGTGGAAAGTTTGTACTCGAGCATCAATGTTCCCCTTTTTGCTGTTCGTTTTTGAGTTATTACATTTTAATACATTCGCTACTTATCTCTTCCTCGTAATGTTTACATTTTTTAAGTTGTACTCTTAAACTTGTTATACTATTGTTTACTTCAACGTGAACGTTTAGGATAACTTCCTTTTTTTTTCTTTTTTTCTTTTAAATATGAAAGAACGATGATTTTATGCTTTTTTTTAACTCCATCCTTACATCCATTCGTAATGCATACACGTAAAATAACTTCGTTGTTACTTTTTCTAGGTATTCCCGTTCATTCGAACAATAAAGTAAGTAAAATAATTACGTACAACCACTACTTGATTGTCATCCAACTGTAGAATATCAGCCTAAATTATTCTTAATTCTCCTGAATATTTGATACAATTTAATTTTGATAATGTTTTGCGGAACTGATATACACTGATATACGTAGAATATGCGAAGAATTCATAACGATCGGAAAAGCTGGCGCACCGAAACCGGAAATCCAGACCTATCACCGCGAGTCTTACGGTATTCACATATCAACACGTGCACCTTCTATCATTCTTTGTGGATGTGGTACAAATCCAATGTCTACGATGTATATATAATATAATTCAGTGATCCTCAAATTTTCCTGAACGACGAAGATTTCGAAAGCAACGCTATCTTTTAGACCGGTAACATGTTTTATCACCTATCGCATCCTATTACTCGAATATTAATATTGAAATTGAAGCATCTTACATTGATTTAATTAAATTGCTTCCATTGGCGGAGTAACGTGTCAAATTGATCTTGTTAAATGAAGCGAGTATATCTTCTAGATAAAACGTGTCGTACAACTTAATTTATAGAGATCTGTTAAACTTCTCGTTGATTTATTAACCGAGTCTGTAACACTTTAGAATTTCTTATATGTACTTATTTTGATTTTAATCAAGCAAAAAGGACAATTGAGTGTTCCAATTATAATGCCACAATTGACGATATCGAAACTTCGATAGTCGTGCGCAGAATGATAAAGAAGTCTGAAAAAAAAGGTGTTTTCGTATTCATCCGGTTTCATCGTGTTACATCGAATGGCGATATCAACGGCCACGACAATGGCCTCGGCAATGGGTGTCCATTATGTTGCTGACCAATTGTGTTGTAGTTTGAGAAACGCTGGCACACGCAATGAAACCGAAGAGAGAAGTGCTTCAAGTTGTTAGCGAACAAAGTGGGACGGTGTGCCACATAGGTGTAGGAAAAGCGAGGGTAAGAAGCCAGAGAGGAGCGAGGTCGAAAAGAAAATAGTCGAGCGAGGAAACGATCGTCTAGCACGTATAGATTAGAAATGATCAACGTTGGATGCAACCTGTTGGGTTCCTCAAACTGTACGTAACTTAACCATATTTATATTTTTATAATCTAACTTCTAGTACCTTCTTATCTACCATTAACTTATCGATTCTATTATTTCTAAGAAATGAAAAAAGCATTTAAAATGGCCAATAATTCCCGCTAACTCACTCTGATACTTTATCTTTATTTACTCCATTATTTCGGTTACCTTCAGTGACTAGAAAAACAATCTAAAAGAAATGATAACTGATGTATATCTTCATTTAGATGACCGTTATGTACTGTTTTATTAACACGTACTGGTAGCATATTAGTAATGCGATTTATTATTTATGACAATCACGCACAAATAAGCGTTCTACATTTCTTATTAATCCTGTTTCGAATGGGAGAGGCGTTTCCTTAGGATGACCGTAGAAATACCTATTTCCCGTTAATGATAACATTCAAGCATCGACCGACTATTCCTTTTTTTTTTTTGTCATGTAACGGAACAAGTTTCTATATTGGACGGACGGTACTATTAACGCGATCTTTCAATCGTAACCATACACGTGTGTTATGTTTCCCATACAACAAGATAAGAAAGAGAATTCTAGTTGATTCGAGAAAAATATGTACGTTCGAACAACACAATTAAGAAGTGAAGATAAAAATCCGAGCTATACGTAAGAGTTACGCCAATCGTTGTGTTATCGATGTAAATTAAATGCAAGGGGATATTTTTGTTTCCTTCGTTGTCAGGTAAACTTGAACGAAGTCACCTAATTTGTAGGAAGTAGGATCGATACAAGTAATTCCGGTTGAATCAGGACGCATTTAAATGAATCCTCTAATAAATCGAGTTAATTCCGAGCGAGGGACCACGCGAACGCTTCGTTGAAATGATCGGTAAAATCATCGAATTAGGTAAAATCTGAGCGCAGCGAATCATCGAAGGATACACGAACCGAACAGTTTACTCGAATTAATTCTTCGTCGATGAAAATGACGACCTGATCACGTGAATTTAAGTGTTACTCACCTTCATCGTTTTGTTCTTCAACGAGCAGAGTCTTGATAGAGTAACAATATTTATATTTTTCGATCGATCACTCGTAACTTTTTAACCACCAAGAATGAAAGCTTGAGCCAAGAATAAATATACCGGAAATCGGGTCACGATCACGAATAACGAAGTGCAAGTTAACACGCGCGATGGCTGGACGTTGAGGAAGCACTGCGTGTTCTGCACGCAATTAGGTCATTGTCCTTCATTTATACTCGCAACCCGGCGAACGTATCATCGAAGGCCGAAACGTTGCCTCCTACCTTGATCTGACGGATAACAGCTGCTTCGAAATGCGGAACGTACTTGGGAAAAGTCATTGGTTCCATGAAATTTACCGGAATTCCCAATTTTTCATTGTTCGTGCCGCGAGTACGACGGAATCGCCATTGATTCAATCGTGCAAGGAAGTTGATTAAATTTTTGAAACATATTTGTACACACTATTCAGTTTTTCATTGTATTCAATTTTTATACCAATGTCTCTGATTAATGGTTATTTTCTTTTTTTAATTTCGGTAATGTTTTCGATACAGTTGTAGGTTCTTTTTAGCGAAAGATTTTGTAATGTAACAGAAATACATTTTATATTTGAATGGTACTTGGATGTGAGTCTTAGTTTACAGATGGAAAACATGTATAAAGTCAAAATGATGATTTAGTTAATCTATGTTATTTACATATTTTCTTCGAAGAGGATTTGTAACTAGATTGAAAATGTTTCTTCGTGAATTGGCTAAAAACATGAGTCCGTTTTATCTTCATCTAAGGATTTTCTTGCCAAATGTTTATTTGATTTTCATATTTTCTAAGCAATACAGAGATATATGCTTGTTTAAATCTGTTTACAGTTATATTTCTGCTGTTGGTCCACTTCGTCAAACTTAATTGACGCTCGTGAGAAATTTTCACGATACTCTAGTTGGTTAACACATTCCGATGGAACTGGATTCTGTTGCTATTAATCTCTGGCAAAAAATCTGTAACCAGTGGTATCGTTTCGCTTCAATCTGTCACTCCCATTTACAGTGTAAGAATTTTAATTAAGAATTATCGCCACAGGAGTATCCGAATTATCTTTTCATGAAATCCAAAACAACAAATAATCAAGTTCATGAAATACTTTAAAAGAAACAAATTATTCGTTAAATTTGTTCTGTATTATTTCTGCATTATTTGTATCATTAAATTTATATCCTTATAGTCGTCATTTAACTAATTATTTTTGTTTGAAGTATTTTTTAAACTTCAGAAGAATTAAAAACGAATCATTCCATGAATTTTGTGAAAACACGGAATACTTGAATTGTAGAAACAAGAATTTTTCGAAACAGTACACAAATATTTGTTAATATTTCAAAAATTTTCTAAAGCGATCTTCACACGTGGAATCAAACTTTAAAAAACGATGTTCGACTCTTCTTTCCGACTGTTTCGAAAAAAGAAACCATTACCGCGCGTGAAATTCAATTATTTTCGTAAACGCGTTACGACGAGATAGAAAAAAAAAAGAATCAGGATGACAGTAAAGTCGATTTGTGACTGTATCATGGAGTCTCCGTGAGTTGACAGATGGACAGAACGATCGGAGACCGGTCAAACGCCGTTTCTCTCCATATCCTGCTACTGGATTCCCTCGTGAGGATACACCTGTGTGCGTCGATATGTGCGAAGCAGCGTGTGTGATCCAGTGACCCACTACAGGGTGTCCCACTACAAACAAGCCATCTTAATACCTCGGATATTTTAAATAACACCAAAGAAATATTTTCCATTTATGGAATTCTGAATGATATCAATGCATGTCGAAGAGGAGCTAAAAATAAATACCAAACGATTTCTATTAAATTTGCTAGAGATGACCAAAAACGCATGCGGAAGTGTCTATATATACTGAAGAGGATTAACAATTAAATATCAAACACGTTATATATTAAATTTTTCGGAGATATTTACCATAAACCAACGAGTTCATACACCAATTGCAATCGGAAGAGGTGTTGCTTGTGGAAGGTGTATGGTTTCAATGGACACACAGTATAGTGGCGATAGTTCCTTCGTGGGTGGAAGCATCGAGATGTCAATTTTGTTCTTTTAATGCAGGAAATTCTAGTATTTTACGAGAAAATTCGTAATTAATTTTCCTAGTACTCTTCGTTACAATTTTTTCTCGCACGTAGAGTAAAAATTGTAATCACGGATGACAAACAATTACTTTGTTGCTCAACATTCGTCCTCTCGAGAAGGATTGCGGTTACCTTTCGGGCGCGTACGTGGACAGAACAGGTATCATTTAGGTTTTAAAGTTCATTGTACCCTCCGTGATACTTGATGGAAGGAGATCGAGGCAGGACGTTGCTCCGAACGATTTATTTCGTGGATGTCTTTTATCGTACTTTGAAGTCGCTTAATGATCGTAGTTTATCTCGGCAGAAACAGCAACAAAGTATACTTCCTATAATCACCGCGACATCGATCTTCAATTTCTTTCTGCATAATCGTGATATACATTTTACGTTTCATGTGTAATTTGATTCGAAAGTGGACAATATACTGGACTACAAGCACGGAAATAGAAAGTTTGAAATAAAGGAAAATGATTTATGAGCAAAATTTAATATAAAACGGGACATAGCTAAGCGAAAGGTACGCTAAGTGATTTATCAAGCGAGTCCATTGAACATAACGGCAATAAATAAGAAGTCACGGTAATAATAATCAAAAAATTTTATTTATAAGCTTGATAACGAATAATAGTATGAAATTCGCTTGCTAATGTTAATTCGATTTTAATGATACCGTATCCTTAAATCGCAAAAGATAGTACAAATATTATAAAATCTACAATAATAACGAATTCGAATAAACATTAGAAAAGAGAGGAGAGAATAAAGTAATTATTCGTATTTTTATGGCCTTTTTCGTTGCGTAATGATCGACATCGACATCGCCAAAAAAAAAACTCGTTTGCTTTTATGTACAAGATAAACATTTAACAATTTCCATGCGTTACGTTTGTGGTAGACGATGACGATCAGCAATTGATATCCCGTTCCCTTTTCAATCGTTGGTTGCAACCCAGGCACAACAATAATAACTTACAATCAAAAATTACGCAAAAATACTATACAAGCATATTTTCAATACAATATTTATCACAACGGAAACACAAACACGTTACATATTTTCTACTCTATCTTGACTTGCGGATCGACTCGTAATTGTCCAACGTTCGTCGCTCGTTTGCATTTCGAACCGCTTTCTTTTCGCGAATAACTCCGTGAAGATACATCCGTGAATAACGGATTCATCTGTGAAATCTTGCGGTCTTCTTTCGTCGACTAGGTAAACGCCGAAAACACAATTCGAACACGCACACGTACCGCACAAGACTATAAAAGTTGCCCCTGAGTGATGTTCACCATGTTGGAGAAATCCAGGCTTTCAGCCAGATAATGCATTTTCGTGATAGTGATACTATCAAGAGGTACACAGTTGGACAGTCGAGTAGTAGACTCGAGTTTATGAGTTTCTCTTCATCGAATCACTAATTTTTCAAACATTCTTTTACACTGTTGAAAAGAACAGTTCATAAAGAAGTTAAATGGAAAAGCATTATGAAAAAGTATTGAAAAATAATTACAACCATCGACGGCACTACTGGTTAGTTAATTATTCTTTCAATATGTTTATGAATTGTACTTTTACCCAGTGTAAAAGTATTCAAACAAATGTACAGTTCTATCGAACGAAGATTCTAAAATCTAGCCTCTAGCTCGACGGACCAAATATGTACCGCCATTTATACAGTTAACGTGATACAACATTTAGATTGACAGTGAAGTGACCTTTTTCAAGAATACCGATCACTGAATCTACATTCCATTCCGGGACATTCTTCTTAGACGTTCAGTAAATGTAACATTGGTGTCGTACATGAGCTCCTTATTGGTAGTCCCCGCGTAAAATTCTGCTAACTTAGCGCAGGAAAACGACACTTTCCTCGCGTTTCTCGCAGTTACCTGGAATCTCCGTTTCTGATACAAATTCAGAGTCGCTTGTGCTCTCTGAATCCACACACAGAGGAGTAGATCGGGTTTGAATAGACCACTGCAACAGACAATACTTTCGATCAAAAAACAGAAGATGAAAAAAATACTTTCTTTATTATTATCAAAAAGATATCTTTCTATTACTGCCATAAACTCTAACAATTTATATTTATATTACATTTAACTGCAAGTGATAAATTCGATAGGGATCATACATACTATGACTGATTTGTCCAACTTACGTAATGAGCTATAATATACACAAGTCCTGCAAAGAGTAGCATACTTGAGCTTTAGAGAGACTAGTAGTGCGGTACCGTGGCACCAGGTACGTCAAAGAAGACATTGAGACGGTCTCATTCGTAGAGAACTCTTGCAAAGCGACGAAAAGCAGAAAGAGAGAACAGTGCAAAAAGTGACGTATATACAATATTTTTGTTTACTTTGCCAAGAATCGCAAAAAAATGCGTACGAATCCAGCGGAATGATGATTTAAAAGATTTTACACGAACTAGGGCGTGATACTTGAGAAATAACCTTGACGACAAAGGTCAACTAATCCAATTACCTGCGGTCAGTCATTTAAATTACACCCGATGCAGTTGCATACGGTGCGCAACATCGACAATGGATCTCCTCTTGCTGGCGGTATTTCTTCTCCGATAGACGCCGTGCGTATTGAAACCAGCTACGGGCTGAAGCAGTCCTGGAGTTGGCCAGTGAGGCGCCGAGTACGGACTCAGCAAGGGTATCTTCAAAGGTCCTTGCAACGCAGCGCCAGGATAAGCGTTCAAAGATGAATCGTGAAAGTTCGGGTGCGATTGGAGTTTTGGAAGATCGTAGTCGACTCCGTGATTTGCCGTCGATATTTTGAACGCTTCTAACGCGGGATCCATCCCGATCGAGAAGCTCGAATACACGGATAGATCGTTCATGGAGTTGTCCCCGCCTGGTAAATCGAAACTGCCTTTGGTGGGAAGCTTGTACCGAATGTGTATCGGTGGATATTCGAGGCTCTGTTGAATCGTGAACGGGCCATGGTGACCTAGAGGAGGACCAGAAGCCAGAGGAGGATACGCTGGATAATCCGGTATTGTTTTGTCATCGTCCAACGTCTGATGATGGATGGGGGCGTCGTAGCTCGATGGCGGATGATCGGGAGGATGGTTATGGGTCGCCGCCTCGTAATTAGGCTTCTGATAGATGTCTATACTCCCCTTCAGGGTGTGTTTGATGTCTTTGTTCACTTCTGGCGGTGGTCTGTGGTAATCGTTCTCCGCGTTCGTCCCATGAGGTTTTCGAGGGTCCACGTCCGAGTGATCGTTGTGTTTCTTGTGATCGACCGGTTTCATCTGTTTCACGATCAGCAGGCCCGCTTGGTCGTCGTCTGTAAACGTGACGTCTGTCAGTCGGGTCTCAATGTTAAACCCTTCGTTTCTTGGGATTGCTATCTAGTCTATGAATTAGTGATATTGGTGATCGGTGTACACGAATTCGGAAAATATCTAACGTTTTATCCAAGGCGATTGTTTAGGGTAATTTTGTGTCTTATTTTAGAAAGTTAATAATAATCGTTGTAGGTTACATTAATATTTTCATGTTATTGCATTCATAATTATTTGAAACAATGTATCGATTTCGTCCTATGTGGTTTAATTTTGTTTATTGTCTGAGTTCATTTAAAATTCAACGATCTGCGCGGCAGGCATAATACAGGCATAATGCAGCTTCCATATTTCTGTCTGTCGTATTAAATGTTGTAAACATATCTACCCTAATGAACGTCTATAATTTAAGTCGAAATGTCCACTTGGATAAAACGTTAGAACTAACTTCTGAAGCATGAAATTATGTAAATTGCAACGAACTGAGATTATCTTGGACGACCATTGTTGTAAAGTACAATACTGCAATCACCTTGTTAGACCTTACCAAAGTATAGATATTAACCAAAAATCGTGAAATGAAAGATTAGTATGTTTAGTATTGTATCGTTTGCCTGCCTTAGAAAGCGAACGCATTAGGACGAGCATGGGACAAAAGACGGGAATAAGTTCCAGTTTCTAAGGTTCAATTACTTTCTTGCATTGTTTACAGAGAGAGACAATCACTGATTACCACATTACACACACTGATACATTTAATAATGTATCAATTGCAACATACCATTCCACACACATTTAAGCACGCTTACACATTTCCATTAGTAGAAGAAAGAATAGATTGTTTATTGCACACAGAGATCAAAATGTTATGCTCGTCTTGTATAAACGAGAGATATCTTTATAGTCGTTACGAACATTTAGGTTCTCTTCAGAAATAAGCAACTGAAAATTTTTAAGTAATTACCTTTAGGTCTATATTCCGAGTTATTTATTTCCGTAGAGGACCCACAAGAAAGTAAAGTTTTAATCGCCCTGTGAAGACTATTAAAATATTTATCGAATACAATACGTTGCACAAACGTTTGCAATCCACGGAATAGATCACACAAGAGCGAAAGTGGATTAAAACGTAGCCCGAATTTCAAGAATAATGAGAGACTCTCACGGAAGTGATTCGACGCGCGCAAAGAAGAATAAGCCATTCATCGCAAAGACGTGCAATTCAGAGATCTAATCGTTCGAATAATCATTCGAGAAGAGCCTCGCGCGACTAAAGCGGAACCGAAGTTCAAAGAACCGAAATAGAATAATCGCTACCAGAATTCAAGATGCCATTACGGAATACACGAGTCGGCTACCAGATCCCACTCGATCGCTTTATACAGAGGAAAGTTCCGGAGATTAGAATCTGGTTTGAAAGCGAAGGCGGTTCTTACTTTCTTTATTTCAAAACGTGCGACAGACTCCTCCAAGATTCCGCCCTTCTCACCGAATTTTTTTTTTTTTTTTTTTTTTTCAAGCAAACGCCAATCGATGCCGTCACACGTTCGAATCAGGGGCTGTTATTTATTCTCGCATGCATGCCACGCTAACGACGTAATTGACCACTGTGAATGTAATTCCTACGAATTAAGCTTTTAGGTGTGTGCAGGTTGGATGTATTAGCAGCAGTGCGTGGCAATAAACACGCCTCGTAATTATAGAAAGTCTTACCGTTCGAGGGCGATTCGTAATTCGCGTTTCCATGGTACTCTTCGCTTGGCTCGCTATATTCCTCGACGCCAGGCGGTGGTCCGTCGTAGGATTCGTGGTGACCTATCGTTTCATTGCGAAATTAGTTTCGGAATGCCTATAAAGTACGTACAGCAATATACAATGTAAACATACGAGGGCGCGTGATTGGTAACCGAATGGCAGCCTGGTTTATTTGGCATTAGAGCAATTCTCTTACCTTTCAATCTTCAATTTACTCCTATTTATTCAAAGTGTATGTTGTACAGTGATTCTTCAGGTAAAAAAAAAAAAAAAAAAGAAAATAGATTGAAATGGTTAAAGAACTTGATCTTTCTCTCCTGATCTCGAACATCTCCAGTAATAACAGACAAGAGCGTTGCTCTGACACCAAATACACTTGCATTTATATCGAGTTATCAACCACTTTTGTGCATTTCGATACTCGGAGCAAGCAAGACTAGCGGAGAAAACACTGAGTTTTTTCACAATAATTCATAGTAATCGTACTGGAAAGATTTGTAACAAAAAGGGAATACGGTCGATGAAAAAATATACAGTTGTACAGATTGTCGAAATGAAAGAATATTTCTTGCGTTCGTGTTTTTGAATACTTACCAATTTCCGGCGGATGATCGTAAGCATAACCATGGTGAGGCGGATGCGGAGGGTATGCGGCATTCTTCGCGATAGTCCGCCCCAAAGATGTGATCGCATCCCCCGTCGTAATAATCATTTTGCTTTTCGACGAAATAAGGTAACCACTTCCCTTGATAAGCTGACCTTTCAAAGCAATCACACCGCCACTTATGGCTTTTACCGCTTGCATTAATGTGCTAATGATCGCCTTTTTGAAGTCCCAAACGTCGAACGCCTTATCGCCGTACTATTATAGAAAAATTCGATTAACCAATACCACGCGTGTGCAAATCAATAGAAATTGCGATTTTAATCTACACTTTATTGAATATTGTGAATTGCTCCATACAGCATTGATTATTATAAAGAGGCTTTATTCTAATATATATTTATGTCTTAGAAGTAATTGTGCGTCATCTGTCCCCATTCTTTGCGTAGCTGGCATTTGATTCATACATAACGGCGCCAATGCAAAAGTTTCAATTGATTCCTATCGAAAGTGCGATATAAATGGTAATTTCAGTTTTCTTATTCGGTATTATTTTCTTTCGTCGCCGTATCGACGTTTCATAAGATCCAGATTCCGTCCAGGTTTGAACTAGGATGGCAGGATATATAACGATTAACCTGTTTCACTCGACGATTAATCGTTGTAAACATTAACGATCGTGACATCGAGTTATGTTCATTCAGATAATCCTTACCACTGAACTAATTCGACTGGATCTTACGACAGGTGTAAAAGTACCGTTTTCATTGCGATCGCGTAAAACGTTACTGTCGCATTGAATGACACGTCATTGTTGTTTTCTTTTTTTATACCTTTTCTTATTTGTTGTGAAAACCTTGCTCCACCAACGTTTAAATAAGAGGCGCTCCGTGACGAAAACCAGCTTAGATTTCCCTCCTTAATTGCAACCACGACGACCCACATAATAGTTTTCTTTCGTGCGGTTAATATTGATATATCGTTTGTACTACGATCCTACGTGAACTACACTATTCTAGGATTCTTCCTTCGCTAAAGGTAAATAGTTATCGAATTTTAATTCGTTAGTTCGTTCAGATAATTCCAAAACTGCGTCTATACATTAATCGCGGGAACTTCTGACATTTCGAAGAAGTTATATAAATATTAAGATCGATTCGTATTACACGAGTTAAAATATCAAACTCTTCGCGTCCACGAATTGACTTTCATTCGCAGAAGGTTGCATTAACATTTTCTATGGATGAAATCTTATCGATATCAGCGTTCCCAATCATTGCTCGTTTTCGCGCGTTCAGACTTCCGTCGACAGGTAAAATTAATACATTCTGTAATCTCGACAACAAAGCACAAGCTGCGCTTTTGTCTGTTGCTGTGCAACAAGAAGTTCCCCGTATAGATCACCGCCTTTCGTCTCGCCAAAAAAATATCGAGAACCTTTTGCTACTCGTTACAGTGTTTCTCAAACTTCGTCTATCCGTAGACTAAGAGAATACGCAGACGTAGAATTATTAAAGTAGAAGTAAATTATTATTCTTTAATATGTTTTTAAGCTGTTTTATGGAAACTTGTATATATGCACGGAAAATTATTCCTCATTTAAATTTCTTTTACGTTATCTATTAAGGCGATATACGAATTTAGCTGTCTTGTATGTGGCTATTTAGAATTTGTTTACAAGTGTACTTAACAATACGATTGTTATTGTACATTATTCAATCATGACATTTAGTTTGCCCGTGTCTTCTAGTAAAGAAAACTATATGAAAATCTTTCCTATTTCGTTACAATACGTTTAAATCTTTTTTTCACGGTGTATAGCCACGATCAGGGACACTCTCTGATTTTGATAAAACTTTGCAGGTTTGTAGTTTGGCGAAAAATAATGTCAGATATTTCTTTCTTTTTATTTCTAAATAAATTCCGTATCGTTTTTGGCGGAAAATAGTCATTCTTGTTACGTATACAAAATTAACATTATCTATTGTTTACCATGCAATTCATAGTGGTAATCTTCAGCTAATTGTAAATTTAAACTAAAAATTCCTCAAGGTGTATCCTTTCCTTAAAAGGAATTTCCTTAAAAACTTATGAAAGCATAAGCAGCGCAAGATTGTCTGTAGCAATTTATTCATTTCATTCCTATCGAAACTCTATAAAGAACATTTCGAAATAAATACATATCCCATTCGACTCTTCTTACAAACCTGCAAAGATATCCTTTACGAGCGCCTTCTTTGCGGATCACAGTTTGAGAAACACTGATCAGAAACCTAATCGAACCGAATGTGCTCTGCTCGAGCCCGTTGTCGTCGCACGTAAAGTAGCCTCAAGTTTTGCGAATAATTACATAGTTACCGAATAAACTTGTCCATATTCTGGCTTGTTCTGGTTACCCGAAGAAGACGAGCTCGATGAGGAACTCGCGTCCGACGCACTCGAAGCTGAGATCGAGGACGAACCTTTCGATGCACTGCTCGATGCACTGACGATACCGCCAATTATACCTTTGGCTATACCGCCAATCAAGCTCCCCGATCCCTTTATAATCGATCCGGAATCGGATCCAGACGACTGGGGTGGCCCGTACTGTCCGTCGGTGTGCTCTGGCCCGTATCCTCCGTATTCCTCCGGCGGTTGTCCTCCACCAGGTGGTCCCTCGTATCCGTACCCCTCGTATCCGTCACGTTTCGTCCCGTAACCACCCTTGGACCTCTTTCTCCTCTCCTGCATCAGCGCCATGTACTTGGGGTTCGCCAGCAGTTCGATCACCGCTTCGCTTCCGCCCATTCGTTTCGCGATGTCCTTCTGTAAGTTCTCGGGCAGGATCTGATAGATCTCGAAGGCCATCTGCCGCTCTCGGAGCTCCGTCTTGGGATCCTTCGCCCCGGTCTCGAGGAACTGCCATTGCTCGTCGGACGCGCCTTGGTCCGACGAAGACCTCCTGCGGTACGGCGCCAAGCGTTCCAATTGCGCTGACGCGCGTGCCAACAGATCTTTCTCACCTGATTCCGTGCTCTCCGACGTGACGACGACAATCGAATAGCAGGCCAGTGCAAACAGTTGCGCCAACTGAAACCCATCGATACGCCGTCAGGGTAATTTCGCGTTCAGCCGATCACTATTTGCAATCGGAAGTAGGAATTTTGATGGAATTTAAATATGACGCAGTCCGCGTGACGCGTAATTGGGAGGAGTTTAAGTTATGCTGCGGTTTGATTTGTTGAGGAAGTACGGGGCAGTGGGAGAGAGGTGTAGAAATAAAGTTTTGTCATCAAAACTACCGACCGTATCGAGTTGTCTTGTTTCTATTCTCATCAAGGATTGGCCTTTTGAACTAAAGTAGTTAAATCGTAAAGTCGTTTTCGCATTGAAAACATTATGAACGGGTTTACTTTGCACCATCTGCTTTTAAAGGTCGAGAACGAATTGCACGAATCCTTTTGTTTATCGTTGCTGTTAAAGTAAATCAACTAATACCACCTAGACTAGGAGTCGGTGTATTATGTACGTGTGATTATCTTTTGTTCCTTCCTTCTGTGTGCGCGTCTTACAATTAGCTAAAAGCCACGTCTTTTGTGTTTTACCTTTTGTATTTCCAAACCTTTCATTTTGTCTAATATATCGACTGTATTTGATAGCATCAGCTTTGTTTTCTTTCGGTATTTTCCAACAATTTCCCTTAAAAAATCTCTCCACAAGCCAGGCATCAAACGAAAACTTTCGAACAGAACTTTGCAGAACATTAAACTTGAATATAGGAAATCGGAATAATCTCCGATTAAATCGAAGGAGAATGAAATAGTAACTCGAAAATCCTAACAAACATCGCTCGGAATCTATTTGTCGCATTTCGTAGTATTTCTCAGAGATAATTCCGACCGAGAACCGCTCGTCATGTCTGTGCTCGTTAAGTTATTATCGAAACAAGCTCGATGGTTTATTGATGTCCCCACGGTAATTTCAGTTCCGAAGTGAATTTCATGCGTCCTAACTGTACGACGATCGATGGTACTTGCCCATGACAAATTAGCTACGACGAAATGTTGTAATGTATCCGTGAATTTGCAAGTCAGTCGTGCATGTAGCGTAGGAACGTGAATCCAGCAAGTGGAGCAGTTCTTGGTGAAAGTAACACTAGGACGAGCGCGGTGCAGGGTTCCGCTTTAGAAGATGTCCGTGTGTGTGACCGCAACAAACAGTGATCTTGACAGAAAATTGCTGGTTTCACGAGTGGTATCGAAGGAAAAGAAAAAGAAGAAATTGACGACGACTGGCACATAAAACGATGAAAAACATCTACACGTATTGAAAGTCGATGACACATATATTTAATAAAACGATGAGTGACGGACAAACAAACAAGTCTACCCGTTCGTTAGCAAGAAAACAAAAACTGTATAAACGTGTTCGTTCTAATCTTCGTCTAAACGAATAGCGATATATCTACGAAAACGTAAGGATAATTCAAAGAACCTGAGACATATCGAATGCGATTAGCATGGAAAAATGTGATCGACGACAAGCTTCAATTTATATTTAATGATACGATAAAAAAACTTCTAAGTAAGTAAAGCTAATTTTGTTATTAATTGAATATATTTAAATATAGAGAGTAATATGAAATCCAAGAAAGAATAATAATTGGTAATTGTGATAACAATGTTTCTATTACGCAATGTAATGTAGTTTAAATGTCAGCGTACTGCGACGAATAGAACTACGGATTTTAAGAAATTCCGATTATTTGAAGAATTTCTCATTCGTATACTTTTATTATTTCAGTAACTGGTTCTCCTTCGTGTGTACACTGAAAGTGCAACTAATTTAAACTCGTTCCTCCATATCAGCGGCGCACAAAGTCCGGCTTGTGAAGTATTTTTTAAGCAAATTCAAATATCCATGCGAAAGGAATGAAGGCATAATTGTTGGTATAATTAAACAAATTTAACTTAAATTTGTGTGGAAGATTTTCAATCTGAAATACGGATAAGAATATAATCAATTGAACGATAAAAGTCGGAATACTATTATGCAACTTTCTACAATTTTATTCGGGTCAAATTCTATCTAATCTAAAAAAATCTTGTTTTTGAGAACTAAAATCAGTTTCATGTACGTTTTTTTATCTCAAGAAGCCAATCGAAGTCTACCGACTACCTTAATAAAATCCTTTTACATAAGTTTGCCAATTACCTAAATTTAAATATATTATTTTATCTTCGTTCTGGTATGTAACTCGGGCTGCTGACAATTTTATTTTATTTTGCTTAGCCTAGTAATGAGAAAGGTCGTGGTCCACTGCTCTATACAATCACTTCACAGATTAAATAGAAATCTCGAATTTAAGTTTCCTCGCGAGAAATCTGTTTAATTGCAGGGGAAAAATATATATCTAGAATCCTAAGAAATTTTCATTCATTACGCACTCAACTGCCCTCATTTTGTACTGTTATTATTCATAAAAGTGAAAATTGTCTGCGACCGTGTTACTCTCAATTGCTTTTTCGCAAACTGACAGCGTGGAAATAAGCACGCGAAGAAGAAGTAACAAAATTCAACGGTGTGTGGTTTTTAGAACAATTCTTGATACGCTATATACAGAATAGACGAAGAAAAACATCATTTCGAGCCATTGTGTACATCATCAACGTTCTTTCGTCGTTAATTTTATCTGCCCTTCTTGTTTATGTAAATTTTTTTTCTTTTCCCAGCACATTACTTTTACATGGAATAATACTTTTTTAAGCGACTTGCGATATAAAATTTCTTTGACGATTAATATTGACACATTTTTACTTCTAATAGATTTTGAAGGTGACTCAATACATATACTTGAAATCTCGTGAATTAAATTAGTTTGCAGTATAGACTGCAGTGATTGGTTTTGGTTGATTAAAATCATTATCAACATATATATATATCGACGTAATAAAGCATTATTCGATTGCAAGACAAATACGTTTACTTCTACCGAGCTTACGATCACTTTAAAAATGTTCTTCGTTCTTTTTTCTTTAGATGAGGTTTCATAAATTTCATCTAGGACTCCCTGGAGGTGTAATGCACCACTGCGAGTTCAATTTATACTCGCGGTCAATCGAGTAAACTATTAGTGCAGAGGGTCGAGCTTAATTATTTCCGCATTTTTGGGATAATCGGTTCGCGAAAAGGGAGTTTCCACGGTCGGAGGAAAGTGATCAAAGCGTCCTTGGTCTTGCACTTGATAGAGTCAACGTTCGACCCAGTTACCATACGCTCTTACACGAAGCGTTCAGACTTGTACGCTCGTCACGATTTCTAAAAAACGTCAAGCGAGCCGGTAGACAGCAGAAACATCACCCCAACTGAAACTGCGCGATCCTTTCGAAAGAAAGGTATCCCACGAGGTAAATTGAAGAGATCGCTTCCGGTTATCGAGACGGTCCAAGCTGATGACTTTCATCGCTGGCTCAACTTTCTTTGCGCTTTAACGCGTTCGTTGGACCTCTCAAATTCTACTCCGTATGAATTTATTCAAATTAATACCGACTTTCACGAAAATCGCTGCCCGTTTCATTGGCGAATCCACGGAAAGGCGAGAACGCGGCTTGCTCGTCTCCGCACATCGACTTTCGTATAAGGCGATTCGATGATCGTGTAATTTACTCATGAACACCAGAAATGGTCAAGATTCCAGATAATAACTACGGAATAACGAATAAAAGATACAAATGATGTTCGATTTGTTAATATTTCATTCGATGTTAGAGTTTCAGCGAGACAGTTTATTTAAGTATTAAGTGTGCGAATAAATTCCTGAAGTGATTTTTTATTTCTCATCTGTTATTTCATTAAAATTTTGCCAATCGTTAATGCATACTTCGATCGGTGTTCAAAATAATAATACATGAAACAAGATATACGTCCTTTCGTGTCATTTTGTTCTCCGAAAGAAAAATAACTATTAAAATTATGTAACAGACAAAAAATTAGTCATAAATAGAAGAGACGACGTTAACGAAGATGTTGATAATTAAAGACTCGGACACTCCGAAGAAGATACGAAGGAAGAGCATTCTCGTTTGTGAGTCATCCTCCATTGCACTTTTACCTTCGTGCGAAGATCAAGGGGAGTCAGAGTAACGATTTCTCCATTGTTGTGTGTATAAATACCCGCGAGGGGTTACAAACGTGTTTCACTTTCACATGGATGATAAACTCTCGATCAGACCGCAGGAAACGAACCACAGAATGAAACGGCAGCTAGACCCCTATCGATTCTCACGATGGAATGAAATTGACCTCGTAAGACAAGGAAATAGCCGAAAATCTTTAATTACGAAGCAAATTTGAAAGCTGGCGTGCCCGAACCCGAGGGATAGAATTTCGACATGGAATATTGACACTTCACACGTGGACCGTGAGGAATTCTGAGCACAATGATCTTGGAACGCGTACCTTCATGGTTGACTTTCACGGTAGATCGGTAAAAGGATCACGGCACTCTCACTGAACTCACTGGCCATCGCCAACGAGTATTTCCTCTCTTTATACCGACTCCCACCTTTTTAGTGTTGCAGGTGAATGTCACACGGTGGTCCGAAATCATAAAAACCCGATCGAAAATCAAATTTTCCATCTGTTCGCTAGTCTACAAAATTTCAGCGACACGTATCGATAACCAGTCGTTCAGAATTTTGATATAAGCGTTCGAAATGGGAAAGAATCGTTTACTTCGAAAGGTCCGTGTTTTCTTACAATACTGGCATACTTCGAGCAATTGACTCTTGCTGAAGGATAGGATTGATCGGAGTTGAATGATGTAGTATCGATGACGGTGGTCTCGGTTATTGATACGCATACGATATTATTCGTAAAATTACATTTTAACATTTCCAAAAATATAACTCAATCTCCAAACATAAGTTTAATTGCTACTGTAAAGGGAAGATTGCTCACAGGTTAAATTCAGACGGGTATTATTTGGAATTTAAATAAAATAACAACGGAAAACTTTCCTCTCTTTACTAGAGTTTGTAGGAATTACAGAAATTAACAAAATAATTTCGAAAAGTTAAACAGCGGAAACAGTGTATGGTTTATTAGTGAAAGTTGGATCTTTCTACGAGTTGTTTACCTACAGGTATCCTTTTGGAAAATTTCTATTCATAAAAATGAAAGGAACATAGAAAATAAAGATATTCAATTCGACTCTGGTACATAAGTGCCGATCGTGTACTGAAAATTAATATGTGCAATCCTGATTCGTCCATGGGAGTATGAAACGAAAGAGATGCTATGTCAATATACCGCATTCTTTCAGTGTTTTTTCTTCGTTTACTTTCATACTTCTTTCCGGGTACAACTTTCGCTTTACATTTATGTATTATTTATTTTGTAATCATCATGCGTAATGCAATTTTACATTTCTTGCATTTCTGGCGTTCGAAGCATTGAATGAATATTAATTCCGAATATTTTGGTTTGGTCTAGGTATAGGTTTACACACGTTTGCATGTGTTTCTATTGTTTATATAGGTGCATAAAGTGCATAAAATCTGTAGCCTAACGGTAACACTTGATCGTCTAATTTCTCCAACTAAGGTTGCATTTAACAGTCATTAATAATAAGTACCTGTTCTTGATTTGCTCTAATTCTTTCCAGTTCGATGCTCGTCTTGAAAAATTGCCAATCGTGTCGTCGGCTTGCTTTCTTCGATTGCACTCTCAGTCATAAGTAGGCTCAACGCGACAAAACTTCGCGACGCAACTCGTTCACGCGCTATTTGCATTATACCAAAATACTTTTCCCTGGGAAGAAAAGAGAAGAGAACAAAGAGACGCGTCTTTCCATCGAAGCTCTTAAGTCGGAGCACGCTAATGAAAGCAACCCAGTGAAATGCAGACATATACCGCGGAATGGCGAACAGCCGGTTTCGTTTGATTCTTATCGAGCGACTCCGTCGTTTTCATATTTTCCCCTCTCTGGTACAGTTGTGGATGGATCGAGTGATTGACAATTCGCTGAAAGTGATATAACGGGGAAGTCCAGCCACACTTCCGTTGACGCACGTAAAAACCAGATTATTGAATGATCGAAATGTGTAGAATTTTTAATTACATCCGAACTTTTCACTCGAGATCATATGTATATCACATGTTTCGTATTTACACCGTATTTCTACGATCCAGCACTATTACACGACCGTGTATTCGTATATCCACACGTTGCATCACTAGATTGTCAAAGTTGAAGCATTTATGACAAGTAGATTCCCTCAGGGACTGTAGTTATGTTAAATTGTAGCTACAGGACGGGATTAACGATCCCAAGATACCTGAGCTATAGAGGATGGCCAATGGGCCCCAACAAACATGTAAAGGAATCTAACGTAAGAAGCGAAGAAATGATGTAAAGCATTGTAATGTAAAAAGTTAAGGATGGACGAATAACAATAGATGAAGTTGTTAGATGTGCCACAAACTCTTTTCCTGTGTAAATGTAATCTAAATCGCAGCGTGTCTAACTTTTGTTTTATTCGACGAAGCTTTCCTGTTTTTCTCAACAAATGGTGGCTGATGACAGAGAAAATGAGCGAATACAACAAGCCAACCGACTCAATCTTCCAAGGAAGTAAGAACGGCTCGTAGGAACGAGAAAGTACCTCAGGAAGAGGTTTTAGAGGAAGAAAAGGATTTACTATACTATATGCTTCTGGAATAGTTAATCAGCTACGAGTTCTAAAATTCCCATTTCGTGTACCTGGTAACCTGGACTTGTAACCTTAATACTATTTCTCTCCAAACAGCATTTTTCGAGATGGCTTATAAAACATGGAACTGGTCTGCCAAAAAGTTAAACAAAAATGATTAATATTATGTCAAAGACACGACGGTAGAAAATTCTTTTTGATACGATATACTCGTTGAATTGTAAAAATGTTGTGTCCCGAATATTCTGAATAGAAAGCGAGAAAATCAGACGAATTCTATTGTCATTTAAATTCAGTTTAAAGTGTTCTTAATGGATGAAGACCCTTACGTATATTCCGAGCGAAAGTCACGTTTGTGTTCTGTGAGGTAGCGAGATGATTATACCGAACAGTACAACGTATTGTAGGTATAATACGTTCTCATGAATTTGATCGTTTCCTGACTACCCCCATGTATAATTTTCCTATTGTACTATATCCTCTTACGATGGTCATTTCTGTCGTCATTAGCTTCAACTTAGACATAACGAGGAATTATTCTTCTAACAAAATTGATCAAATTTTAGCTAGTTCAATACTAATCAATCCTAAAAGAATTTTATTAAATTAAACATGCTTACAATTTAAATTTTCAATAAAATAATTTTACTGAAAATTTCTTTTATGAACCACGTTGTTTGATCCATTTATTTTCTAATAGAAGAATGCTCCAAATTTTTGAATGAAAGTGTATACATAAATTATTAGAGGATGAATTGATTTGAAGCGAGAGAAATCGTTATATAGCGATAAAGCAGTACAAATCAAAACATGAATCGAAGAAGAATAAGAAGGCACAGCATGTGAAAGGCACAGCATTAACACGATGTCTACTGTAGATACAAATAAATATTTCAGTGAAAATTGTAACGACCTCGGTGAGCTACCACTAAGTTGAAAGTAGAATACAATAAAAAGTAATTGTCGATATAAGAAGATAAACGCTCATTAAACACAAATTTCTATAAGCATCATAACGGTTGAAGCGAACGTCAGGTGTTCAATTTAATAGAATCGTACACACCTCGTATCTATTTATGTATTTTAAACAATAAGAAAAAAATTGTTTGACAATTACATTGTTCTGATCACGTGATCTAAAGTAAACAAGTTAACAAATTTCTTACAATGAATTCATTTCTGAGGACACATTGTTCCGCCTTCAAAATACCAGTGCGTTCGCATTTCCGAATGTAGCTTAAAATCTATACTCGATATTTAAACAATCCGTAATTATTTACATTTAACAGTACGCTATTCAATGATTCGGTTAATGTCTGTACGCCTTCAAAAATTTGACGCCTTGAAATTCGATGTGACAGCAACAACTGGCTGGAAATCGAAAGGTTTCACGACTTATCGAACCATTTTCGGCTACTGCCCAAAGTTGACGGTGAAGGTACTTTTGCCTGCACTTCGTAACGTAGCCTTCGGCGAAGCCCTCGATCATCCTGCATGGCTTGTCTTCGTCGCTGGAAAGTTACAAGTTGCACTTAAACTTGACTGACACGGAACAATAGACAAGATGATAGCCGGATCAAGCTTTTTAATTTTACGTCGATTGACCATAAGTATAAATATTTGTATAATGATGGGCTACAATCAGCTGACCATATAGATATTGTTTTACATCACAATTTTTATATCTCGTCTGCCATTAACACGTATATAATACAGGAAGCAGCATGTCGACGAGTTTCGCACACGTGACGCAGCCAGAGAAGACTATGCAAACTTTCACGAAGACCGTCACTTTGATTGCAAACGTAATTTCGACGTCAATGCTCGGAAGCGTATATTTATATCTAGAAGTTTTCTGAACAATTTCGTAATAGAAAAATGTCAAGAAATGTAATGGAAAACAAAGTAGTTACTTCTTTAATTATATCCCATGATAGTACGGTACATACGAAATTTCGAAAACGTCAGTCATAGAAATTTTTGTGAATTTAAAAATTACGATAGGTTGTATTATAGCGATACTCACATACATGTTTCGACGCGTACACTTTGCGTCCAGTTTTCGTGGTTTATAATATATTTCCAATCCTTGTCTTTAGTCAGAGCAATCTTAGGAAATACAATTTGCTCCTGCAACGATAAAGAACGTAATTCATCTGCGGAAAATTGTCTTCGAAAATAAGAACTTTATGGTTATATGATTTTATTCGAAAACATTGAAGGCTTTAAAACTCCTAACTATCATAAATAATATATACTTTTTTCACTACATAACGTAACAACTTACCGAAGACACGCAAAGCGGTTGTTCTTCTGGCTCGTCTTCCGGGCGCGAAGGTGTATCTAGCTGTTTGTCAAATACATTCATACAATAGAGAACAAATCAATGATTGCTTATAAAATTTAGGTATATATTAGATGTGTCAAATTACAGCTAATTTGACTTAACATTACGGTATATCATTTCGGTTAATTCATAAATCTGTTAATTAGCGGCAGTAAAAATTGTTTTCGATTAATAGATAACGAGTAGAAACATTGTACAATAGCAGTAAAATCACTGTTATGTGAATTTAAAATAGCATTCAGTTTTTCGATCAACTTAAAAAAAAAAAAAAACAAAAGAAAAAGAACTTCTTCGTTCTTCGTAAAAGAACGTAATTAATAAGAAAGCAGAATTCGTAGCTTCATAAAAAATATACAGATTGTTTTTCATTGTATTAGGTTAGTTAAAAATAATGTCCTGCGATAATATCTAATCAATATATTCTTTGATGAAGTTTCCTTTGATATAAAAGTTAAGCAAATTACAAACCTCGTCGCCGTTCGTATAGAATCGAATGTAAGGATTATTCTGTAACGCACTTCTTACTAGTTCTGATGGATAATTCGGGATAAATTCGCAGAAAGTTGGATGCTCGCAAATCGGAGATCTATCAGAATCTGAAAAACACCCACGTTAGCGACTCGTACACCGTTTTATTTGACGAAAAATCATCGAAGCGCAACAAATATATTGAGAAGAATTAGATGTCAAGACTCGTGGTTTTCAGTGAGCAAATTGTTTTGATATTAATAGTAAAATAATATCTAATGTAATTTGTTGAGTAGAAAGTACCTCGATCTACCCCCTCGGATGGATTCAGTTTCGTCATAGCAATACTAAATTGTTGACGATGGCCATATGCTTCGTATACCAACTGTAAATAATCGTTTTCGCTGTAGAATCATTTTCAATTCAAATTACTGACAAATTACTCAACTTTCCTCGTCGAAGTGGATTTCTAATATAGGTTTCTAGTCTTTGAAGCACAGGAAATACCGTTCCATTGATGCATTTGTAGTAGGAATTTACAAAGAAAATTTTTAATTATTTCTACGTTAGGAAAAATTGATATTTACATTACACAAGATCGATTTAAAAATTTCATTGTCTGCGAAACGCGTAAAATACATTTATTCATTTTTAAAAATATCAATATTTAAATTTGAAAAATGCTGTACAAGTGTTGTTAATTAACTATTGGTATGACGTAAATGCAGTTATTCGAGGGATGATTGCAGAATAAAGGAACCGTCATGTTACGCATCTCGATCGTTTAGCATTGTTGTTCGCGTTTTAAATTAGTAATAAGGTCATCGAAGATGATATTAACTTGTGATTTAGATAGAAATCGGAACGATAGACACCGACATCTAATCTTATCTATAAATCCCGTAAATACTTAGTTTAATAAGTGTTTATATACATCTTAAAAACTGTCTTTGTTTGATTATTTATTTATTTAATTATACATTTGTATTCGTTTCAAATCTTTAAAATTCCATAACTTCAACGCGTGGTATTGACAACTTCGAAGTAACAACACCGAATAGAAAGAAAGAGAAACAAATTGAGATTTAAATTAATTATAACGGATGTCTCACCAGTAATAACATTCCTTCCAGTAACGCTAGCATGTTTTTTTTTTTCTTTGAATCGTTACACCCACGAATTCGAATCTCACGTTTACTTAAAAAATCGTTCACAACACCAACAGAAATGGCATTAAAAAGTATTGTAAAAGCATAAGTTATGTTTCTTGATTATTTTAAAATATTCGCGTGCGGTCGCTATCAACGATCGAGTTCGTTTACTCGAGCAATTAAACTACTTGTCTGAGATTTGCACTTGTCAGTATGATTTACGTATTTTCTAGGAACACAGTTATTGGGACACTTTCATGGCTTTTCGACGACTGATCTCATCTCCGTAGCTTTATATCAACATTTACAAGGAAAATGAGATTACGCCGATACATATTCGTTTGCCACTATCGCTTTATACGCTTCATTCGATTTCTTCAGAGTTTCCTTAATTGATTCAAGTGACGTAATATTGTTCAGAAATGGGTACAATTTCATTATAACAATAAATGATGTATAAGACCAACGTGTAGCCATTTATTCGTCATGTTTATCTGGCTAATAAGTTCGTTGTACAATAATTCATTTTACGATTAAAATTCCACGTTTTATCTTTTATTTCCTATTTAAAGCATCAGGAATTGGCGAATTTTTACTAAATAAGTAATGTCGAAGAAATAGTCTATATAATAAGATAGAGAACAAAATTGACGAATACATGTATTATATATGTATAGTTGCAACTATAAACGGATATTTGCACATAAACGCACAAAATCCGCGGATTTTTTGGCACAGTGGAAATACAAAATTCTTTTGGTGGACACAATAATGTACTTCACTGGAATTCAATGTTATCGTTTCTCATCATTAATGTCGATTGAATATAGTCATCAGATAAGACTGACTTCTAACGTGACGTCTAGTATCAACGTCTAGGTCAAATTTCAAACCGTAAATATATGTTCTGTGAAATTTTAATTTGAAATTTTTTAATTCGTTTTACTTCCATCTATGAAAAAAAGCAAGTACGGATAAGAATTAAAGTGCCTATTCCACATAAAAGTAATATTCGAGACAGTTCAATAGAGAAAGAATTGAATTATGAAATTTTACGCGTTTTTGAAAATATAAAGGTAACTAGGCAATCGATATTATATAGGGATAAATTAACGGCGTAAAATTCATATACTTACCTCTCCAAATTTCCCTATTTGACGTGGGATAGGATCACCAGAGTGAAGTAAACCGCAGTTACTAACGTTAAATTGCTTCAGGTCGGTCGATTTCGCATTGCGTCCAAAGAAAATCAGAAAAATGTCGAAGAGGAATCCAGGGGACGAATATAGAAAAGGTTTTATTCATTTTATTTATTATCGTATCACTTGTATTAAGTGAAATAACATTTACTTTCTACTGTGTTAAAGCTGTACCGTATTCTATTCACGATTTGTTTTCACTATTGATTTCGTACCTACAGTCTTTAACGTGGAAAAGGCGAATTTTGAATACATAATTTATAGAGTCACAAGCAACGCAAGACAATTGTAAGAGAAAACTGTTTTCGTAGTGTATTTCATTACCTAAATCTCGTTTCTTACTTTTCATGTACCATTTTTGGGTGCACACATCCTACAACCATGTGCCAAAGGATGCATCATATTAGTAAAAACGGAACGAATATTAGTCTTATCTAATAAAATTATCAAGTAAATATGCATTGTATGCTGTATTATTCTAAATAATTTTAGAACACGTATATCATACAAGTTTACTTTCGTTCATTCGTCTGCTCCATTTATTTTGAATTTAATTCAGATGGCTAGAATTACAAGGATCTTGTACTAAGCATGCCGCTTATATATTTCCGGTTAAAGAAACAATGTTGTTTAACTTGATCTGAACTTTGCCAGTGTTTGACGTTGTCAGGGTCAAGTGTCTACAGAGCAGAGGACTCCAGGGGGGATGACAGAGGAAGAGATCGTTCTCCAATTAGATCGGACGACCGTTGTGAGACTTCCAGCTACAATCAGACTGATGCAAAGAAGCAAAAGCTGGCATTTGCATTTGGGAAAAAAAGTGGAGCGGAACAAAAGAAGGGCATTCAAATAAAGTTGGGTTCAACATCGGTAAATACATAATGTACAAATAAATTTTCTCGTGCGTATATCCTTCTAAAACAATTGAAATATTGTTTTTAGAAACCTACTGTAAAACCAGCACCTGTACAAAGGCCAACGGTAGCATCAGTATTCAATACAGACGAAGAAGATGAACCCGAAGAAATGCCAGCAGAAGCTAGAATGAGGATGCGAAATATTGGTCGAGAAACACCAACATCGGCAGGGCCAAATTCATTTGGTAAAACAAAGCAAGGATTTTGTGACTCTAAAAAAATATTCGAAAAGACGCTCAAAAAAGCAATGGAGGAAGCTAATAAATGACTCCTTCCTTCGTCTATCTTGCAATTATTGTTAATTGTATATTAATTTTACATGAAATGCAACAATTAATAGCAAGATTCTTGCTACAATTATATGCAAAATATTTTTATGAATTTTATGCATCATATTGGCAAAAACTAGATACAATTTCCATCACGTTTGAATTCGATTGAATACTAGCTACGTGCTATGGCTTTTATTATGTCTGCACTTGAAATGTATTGTTTTGCCGTGTAAATCATAAATAAGTATACATATGTAATAAAATTATGCTTTGTAATTTTTACGAATGTTCATTGCCGTCGCGTTAATTTTGAATCATATAATAAAAACGATGAAATGACTTTTTTTAGATATAGGAAAGTAATAAAATAATTTATCTTGTAACATGTAGAGTATACGATATAAATAAAAAAGAATCCAAGTCGATTTTAATTTTTTTATTTTTACTTAAAATTTACATAGCACAATTATTTTCTGTTTTGCTGTCCTTGACGCAAATCCTAAACAAACAAACATTGAATTAGTTTATTAAAAATTAACTATTGAAAAGAATGAAATGCATTATATTTAACTATTGAATAAAATAGTTAAAATAATGTAACTTCTACATTTATGAAATTTTTAATAATTACCCTTGGGAAATTGCGGACTGGTGGAGTTCTAATGCGACGATTTGCTTTAGATCTATTGCGTACCACTTTAGAGTGAATAGCGCAAGAAACGCAATAATGCAACTTCGCATATAATTTGGGAAGCTGATAGGCAGAATAAAAGCTTGCCTCTGTTATGTCTCTAACAGCAGCTGCTTCCACAATGTTGCGAATAACAAATTTCTTAATCGCTTTATCTTTCGGTACACAACGCGCACAATTTGTACAACGAACAGGATTTACATGGCCACGGCCATGCTTGGCACGTCCACCGTTTCTGCGTTTGCAGGTCTGAAAAATGAAAAAATTAAATTAGTGTTTGTGTGTGAGTGTATGTGTGAAACAATATACATTATTGAATATTTATTGGAAACAGTGCAAGTATTAAAAATACTTCTATTCTTGAACATCCCCGCAATGTTTACAAAATTTCTTCGCGAAAGTTATTCACTATTTATTACTTTGTCTGTTACAAATTTTTAGTGACATTGCATGTGGAGGTTAAGATAAGTAATTCAACATTTAATATTTTGTTAAAAATACGAACAGCACATAGTACAATATTATAACCCTGTACACTTTACACGTTATCTTTACACAATTTATAAATTCATATTAATAAAGAAATATTATATGTATACACGGCGGCAACCACATGGCTCATAATCATTTGATATTTTTGTACTTCACGAATGTCACAATTATCGTGAAACATAATTTAATATAAAGATTTCGAATTATTTTACAAATAGAACCATCTATTATAAAACTGCACTATGCATAATACAATAAAGTAAAGCAATTTTAAACAACAAATAAGAGAGATACCATTTTGTCTCGTTAGTTACAGAAGAAGGATCGGATACGTTTAATGGCAGTACATCAAAGTTGGTGAATCAAATCAGTTTACTTCCGTTTATGCACGATGTTAGTATTCAATTTCAAATTGTATTAACACATGTACAGATATATTTCTGAAATATTTCAAGTCATATAGTTTATTTAGATAGTCACTGGTAAAATATTACTAACAATTATGTCTTTCAATTTAAAACTATTCGCATATGACTTTCGTAGTTACAGTTTCAACTGGCTAAAAGTATTCAGAAGTATTCTTGTAACTTTGATACCGTAAGAAAGTTCGTTATGGGTTATTTCAAGCTCGATTGTTATTCAACTACGACGAAGATGTATTTATTTCAACAAATATGTTTTAAATTTCCCATTTTTTTCTTTTACAGGTTCTTGGTTGAAATCGAGCGCCAGTTACAGCATCGACGCCATGATGGTTGCCGTTCAATTCAAACGAAACTCAAAGTTTGATAATTTTGTACTTTGTTTAAACAAATGTGTTACATATTTATGTGTATTTTTACCATGTTTTACTGTAATTTTGTTCATACTTCGTCTGAATTCTTATCGCTAGTATCGTTCAAATCTGATTTCATCCAGACTCTATAAGGTTGGTTGTCTTTTTTGATGCTGTAGTTTGTGATTTTCCTTTACTACATAAGGGTTGTTGGGTTATTTATGTTTTTTACTTGCAATTTGCTAATAGTTAGTAAAATTTACATACTCTCTAGATGCTAGTAACATGGTATTCTAATTTATGGTGGATGCACTGCATAGTAATAAAATGGTGTAGTTACATGATGATCATACAGAAAAGAATAACAATAATTGTAATTTTCTAAGATTCATTTAAATGTTTTTTAATTTTACGTTCTGGTATAATACAGTGGCATAATTCCAAACGGTGTCTATATCTTATATCATTTCTTAGAAGTACGTCTTTGGAAGAAAATGACATCACACTGTACTTACTGACAATATCTTAAAATTGTCCCTTCTGGCTTTATTTTTTTCAATAATGTTTATATTTCTTACAATCAAGTTCTGATTGTTATAACTTTATATTTTGTGTTTTAAATAAAATGGTGGAAGAAGTAGTTAACTCTACTAATAAGTTAAAGGTATGTTAATTTTCTTGTGACATTAGATTCTTCCTAACTTTTGCAAATACTATCATTGGAAATTAATGTATTCCATTTGTCTTTACTTATTTCAAAGCACTTCTGCTTTTCCTAATAAAAATTTGTTTCTTATTATTTGCAAACATGCCAACTATTGTAGAATAAAACTACTCGACCACGACCAGTTTATCTGTGGAATGTGTTAGATGTACAAAAATGGTTAAGGAGGCACTGTAGTGATTATTACCAATTGTATCATGAAAAATTTTTATATGTAAGTATTTTGTGAAGAAGAACGCATATGTTTAATACAAATGTATGATCAATGATATATATGTTTATTTAAGCATGATATCACAGGAAGAGTATTGTTAAGAATAAATGAAAATATTTTACTGAGACTTGGAATTGATAATGAGCAACACAGAATGGATATTTGGAGAGAGATAATGAAATTGCATCTTAAGACTGATATGTTAGAAATCAAAGATATTGAACGACGTAATAATATGAATTTTGATTAAAGTAATTGTTTTGATAAACTAAATGAAGTCAATAATGTGGATAAAACAGCTTTATTTTTCATATTATCTTACATTATGTGATATTTTACACCTTATAGTGATAGTATGATTCTGCTTCCTATATTTAGAAAATTATAACAATTGTATAAATGAGTTCTGTACCTTAATACATAAGTATAATAAAGTATATTTTGTATCTCAATTATAGTTTGGTTTCTACTCATACAAACTATAACACGAAAAAATATTTGTAAATCTTAGTGTATAAATGTGTTCTATTAGTGAAGTTTCGCTATAATGAACATAATAAGTCATTAATTATTTTTTCATTTATCAATAGATAGAGAGTAAAAGATTCAAATAAATAACTTAATGAAAATTTTATTTATTGAGAATAACTGTTCTTGATGAAGTTTGTTGATCAAGTTTAAGCGATATTAAGAAAATAGTAAAACACACAACTTAAGAAATAATTAAATTCAGCAATAATACAGTCCTCCACCTTAATGTTGATTATGTGGGAGAGCTTGTAGATTCAAATTTTGGGGAATTAAAAAATAACGATTTAATTAAATTAGATGTATATCATACTTTTGAAGCATTTCATAATTTTGTACATTCATTGCTCTTTTTTTCTACACTGTACATAGTGCAGTTTCATTTTCATAAAATATTATGAGATTTTGAATATATACATATAAAATTTACGAAAATAAAATATCAATAATTCGTTTAACAGGAAATAATGTTTTTAATGTTACAATATCTTAATATAATACTATATTTCAACAGAAATTGACTTGACTAGGAACATTTATTCATTGCATTAACATTATTAATTATAGTAACATCAATATTTGTTTTAAATTATTATTTTAATTTATGGTTATTTAATAAAATAAGTTGATACATTAGTATCCACATTACCCTGTTCATTCTAATTTTATATAAGTGTACAGATACAGGTGATAGTAATACATTTGAAAATACATATTACATATTTCTTAATCATTATTCAAATACATTTTTAAGTTTGTCATGTATTTTCTTCATTTTGTACAGAATTGTCTTTTCTGTAATTACAATGATAGCTTTACTATTGTATAATTTTATTTACTGTATTGTTAAGCAGTTTGAAGAATATTTTACATATATCAATAATATCTTTTAATGTTTCTTCTAGCTGCTAACATTAACATGAAAAGCAATTCAGGCATTAACTTTTGTTTTTGCAATCAGAGTTTGTTTAAGACTTTAGCAAAATTTGATTTTGAACTGTTTCCAAGATAAATGGATAAGCAATCTAGTTCTCATTCTAATTTTACTTTTAAAACTATTGGATTATTCATTATTTAAATTATTCATTTTAATTTTGTCATGTTTCATATTTTACTATGTATTTATATAAGGTGGATTATACCCATGATAACTTTTATGGTATCTTGTTTGAGATTTATGAAATCACATTTAGACATTTTTAACATTATTATATTTGAACATCTTTGAGAAACTATTGTCTCTTTGACATCAATGCTAAAATAGAGTCTTTTCAGAAGAAACTAAATTTATAATGCTTAACGTGTACAACATTTTTATGCAGTTTGAACAATATTATTTTAATAAAAATATCACAGCCTTACGCATCTTTAGGAATTTCTTCATTCACTCGAGTGACTATGTTCTCAATGAATGTAGAAGCAAGAAAGAAAACTGAATTTTAATACAACTTTAAAACAATACGACTTTTTCAATTATTTTTATACTGAATTTTCGTATTGTGTTCATTTTATCTTTCCTGCGATTACGTAATTATTTCTACGAGTTCTATTATCCGCGATCTATCATTAGATTTTTGGTAATACTAGTATTAAATATAAAGAGGAACATATATATAAGCTTATTAAATAGATTAATAGAAAATTAAACAATCGATGTTTAGGATGAACTTTATATATGTATGTACAGATATAGTATGATTGACTTTAAGAAGTTAAGCCACCTTTGCGACCAACACAAATCGAATCAACCATATTGCCTATCACGATGTACAATTTCTGTTTACATTTACTGTTCAAACAATAATAAAAACATGACTGATGTAAACAGCTTGGTTTCTTTTAAATACCATACTTCTTATAGATTTCTTACAGTCTCGCGTCCAATATTCTTTAAATATTTAAAATTTATTTCAATTTGACGCCGCCAAGATGGCGTAACTCCATAAGTTGATATGAGAAATTTAGTTATTTTTATCACTGATGAGTATGAGCAACGATCAGAGTAAGTAACAAAAATACGCGAGAGGTAGTCAGCACCCAATCGGTCCATTACAGCAAAAGTGCGCGAGTTAAACTCCTAAGAAACCGAATTTTTTCTATATAATTTGGTAGAAATATTTTAAAGATCTCAAGCAATTTAAATATTAACAAAAGGAGTCTGTTTTTTAACCCAGACGAAAAAGAATACATAAACCCCTTAATTTGAACACCTCTGCGCTACTGCATTTATACACACATATACATTTATTTGTGTACTTACGATATATGCAATGTCACGGTATTTACACTTGGATGAAAATTCAATCTCGTTTGTCACCAGCGCTATATAAATTAATTATATGATTCATCGAATCTTTGGCATTACAAGCTATACTTTATCCCGTGAGGATTTTGCTCCGGTTCCGGTACAAAAACGTATAATTCTTCACTTTTGTTAGATGACGACGTGCAATGATTTTCTTCAATGTTATCCGCGTAATGGCCGATTCTGTTGCTTCGTGTACATGCTTCATGGTCGTCGATGAACGAATTATTCGATCCTTTAATCGGTACACCTTTTTGAAAAGATGTCACTGTCGGATAATTGCCGGAATTCGGGCGTTTCCATTCGAATCTGTAAAATATTAAAGGGCAGTTATGATATGGTTCATTAAAAAAAAAAAAATGTATCGTTTATAATTGCAATTGAATCCCTTTTATATCGTACTTTATCATTTTTCATTTGTTTCATGAATTATTTGTGTTTGAGTTTCACGAATTTTTGTCGTCTCGCCGAAATTTTTCGTTATCTCGGAATAGTTAGTAGTATTCTTATTCGAGTTTACGTGAGAGAGAAGAGAGAGAATTGTTCATCGATGATTTTCAGCGGTCAGTTAATTTTACTGAGACGATAGGTACTGAAGGACATACCTAATGGAGGTTCGCGAACATTGCGTTTTATTCATTTCTGTAGTATCTATCGGTGGATTGGTTGTCGATTTACGCCATTTGAAGGGACTTCTTTGACGGAATTCCCTTCTGAAATTGTCCTGAAAATCATTTAGTGAAAATCATCTGTGTAAATGAAATTCTGATAATAGTAAATTGATTTCATTATTATTTATACGTACTGTATATATGCCGTAGATAACTGGATTTACGCAACTGTTCGACATGGCTAACCAGTCGATGCAAAAAAATATATAATGGATGTGTTCGTACCTGCAAAAATGGTTGTACACGATTTCTCCTTTTAAATAGTTTGCATAATGTATAAGTTGTTCAATATGTTAGTCTAAGGTGTATGTATTCACTAAAATGGTATCTTCGATTTTTCTAATATTTTGAAGATTTCGAAAATCTTTATATTCTACATCGCTTTTTAATGAATTACTCGCATGTTGTTCGAATAGAAGTTTCAAAGGGGCCATTGAAAAATCGGAAATTGGAGTATTTTTACGTCATTGGGAGAACCGTTGAAAGGGTGAGGGAAGAGACTTTGGTTTATTATTAAACACTTAATTTACGTGTGAAAGTTGATTCATAAATTACTTACTGGTTTATTTCTGGATACAGAAATTGAAATACGAAATAAATATGGAAAGGCAGCCAACAAAGCCCAAAAAGGACCACGACAGTAATTAGCATTTTGATGACCTGAAACAGGAACAAACAATTAGATTCAATAATAGTTCATTAATGGAGAAATAGATTATGTTTAATTGTAACTACAGTACAATTACTGACATTCCTAATGGGAATGCCAGAGAAATAGAGAATGAAGAAAAGACACTTATCCTACAAGCTTACTTATTTACATTCACTTCGACTTTTCTCATTCAAAATCAATTCTAATGCAGAAGTGTGAACTTATCGTACCTTTATCTTATTCTTTATCATATTCGCATCCCGAGAATCTTCTGCGTTTCCGGGTGCTGTGCTGCCCCACAGTTTCAATGCCACTCTTGCATAGACGCAAGAAATGATTGAAAGGGGCATTAGATATTGCAAAAATGCCAACACCGCTCCGTAAATTAACATCGCGTTCTGTGAAAGATTCACGTACATGCAGATCGACTTGAAATCATCAGGGTTGCGTGGATCCGCTAGAAGTTTGGGAAACAGATTCGTTAAATACGCTTCAGGTTTAATTCCGAGGAAGATTAAGCGCGACTAAACCGAGTATGACGTTAATATGGAAATGTTGATGATAATTACACGTAAGCAAAACAGCGACATTCATTTGTTTTGCTAGTGCCGATACTTCGTAGACAAGCAATGAGGCACAATTGCGTAGCACTGTCACAAGCAGCTCGCTATAGCTATCTTATTACTACAATTGTGGTTAATATGCCGCGAGAAGATAATTAAAATGACAATGAATGGAAAGTAATAGAAGAACTTGGATTACTCGAAAAATGTATAGTTTTCATGTCAGTTCAAGCACTTACTCCAATCTCATGAGCGCGTAAAAATACGTGCCTACAAATATACAGGGTGTCCCAAAAGTCGGGGAGGAGCCGGAAATGGGGGGGTAGCTGAGACGATTCTGAACAACAATTTCCTTTGCAAAAATGTCGGATGGCGCTTCGTTAAGGAGATATTAAGAGAAAACCCCGTCCAATCAGAGCTACGCGCTCTTATATACTTATACGTATACTTGAAGCATACGATAATGTTTTTTTTTTTTTTTGTAGTAAATACACAACGACAGACAAAGTTTACATTCTTTAGACAAGACTAGATAGATGAATTGGTGAAATAAATAACTGATGCATATGGTACACCAATTTATGGGATTTATTTAATGTTTGATCTTACGGTTTTTGTTTTTCGGTTCCATAACACGATGTGCAATTGCCACTGGTGTCGCCAAAATTCCCGAAATTATCCAAATTGTAGCGACGACTAGTTTAGCAGTTCGTTTGGTCGGTTTCACGCTGTTCAAAATAGTAATGCGTTCGAATGAATGACAAAACGATGATTACAGAGTTCGATAACAAATTTACCGCGTTGACCGGAACGTCAGTGAAATTAATGTTAATATCGATCAGACGATAGTAAATTTAAAAAAAAAAAAAAATTAAATAATAGTCTTTAACGGCTAATAATCAGGTCATATTAAGTTAACGATTAGTAAGAGGATATGCAAATCAACATACCTGAGAGGTTTCAAAATCGCTCTGTGTCGGTCAAGTGCGATTGCCGTCAGTGTGAAAATCGAAACGTTCACAGAGAGAATTTGGACAAACGGGCTGAAAGGGCACATAAAATAGGGCAGGTCCCATCTTTGCAGTAGAGCCCCTTGAAACTTGAAAATTAACAATGGTTAGTGTTTAAACTTTCATTTTTTCCACGATTTTGGAAATTCACAAAGTCGATCAACGATTGTGTACAAAACGTATTTTGTAACAAAGCGGTACTACCACTGTAATGAATAGCGGTCACGTTTATAATAACTATACATATATATCCATGGTTTCCAAACTCTTTGGGAGGTGTCCCCCTCTCAAAAAAAAAAAAGAGAGTTGAATAATGTGACACGAAACATTTTTCCATCGTGTTTTTGAAGTAAAATTAGATATTGGGCATAGTCATTAAATGTGATAAGTAAAATATTTAAAATAATAAAAAAGAAATAGGAAAATATGTTTCTATCGTGTTTAAATTTTAACGCTAAATGCGTTACACATTTCTCTACATTAAAAATACCCCACTTTCTTTTTAGATTGTAAGGCAACTACCGAGTTTGAAAAACACTGACCTAAGTACACAAATAAATAATTGTCTATTTTACAAGCATGTAGTACTTATCAAAGTAAACGAAGAGTGCTTGATAAATTATTGAATATAATAAGAAAAGAGAGGAAAACGGTAGCTCTGAGTAATCTTAAGAAATCAATTGATTTCGTCTCGATTCTAATGAAATGTCAACAATGACTACATGGGAGGCCCATCTTATCGGTCGATTGAGGATACAAGAGCGATGAAAAGCATATGTCTTATTCGAACTTGACGAGTTACAGCTATTTTCACGATTCTCATATTTTCAATTTTAAATTACAAGCCGAGTTAGTAATTAATAAACCAAGATAATCGATTCTATTAAGCTGTATTTACGTGACGTTCGATAACTCTTTACTTTTCTTAATGGATGATTAATGAGTCAATTATATGGTAATATATCCCGTAGCGAATTCAATTAGGCGTACGTTGCTTTTTACAAACGAATAGATCATGTAGTTTCAAATTTAAATTCGTTAGAATCACATTTTTGAAACAATCGAAAACATTCGTTTACTTAACACGGATCTCCAACGTTGCATTTCTTCGGCATTGTATACGAGAAAGTGCTAATACTTTTGTGTCGTCAATCGGCCACTTTTCTATTGTAAAATAAACAAAGGCTAATGTTACTACGTTTCTTATAAGCCTTGATAGATAGATTAATTTAATAATGCTTATTCAGTAGATGTAACAATTAATTGGCTGAATAATCTATTTGCAGTAATTATGTGGTAGTAATGTATAGAGGGTCCCTAAACTTTTTTAATTTCTGTGAGGGTCTGATATAAATATACGTGCAAATGAACATCTTACCCGAAAAGGAATCGAGAATAAACCAATGACGATGTCCGCTAATGCTAGGTTTCCTATAAATATGTTTGTTACATTCTGCATTCGCTTGGACGTCCCGATTATCCATATGACAAGGGAGTTCCCTACTACCGCAAAAATAGATATACTTCCGTACAGTATGCTGAGAATGACGAGAGGTAAAGGCGAGACTTCGTGCTTGTTCTCTGAAAAATCCAAAATCCAAAATCAATAAAACATCGACATCAATCCCTTCACACCCGATTTGTTTTTAAAGAGAAAAGGAACACATTTATTTAAAAAACGAATTTGTTCCACAATAATTTACGAAAATTGCTACGATACTAATTTTATTGAGAAAAAGTAGAAGACACACTTTTGTATAGGTGTTAGTTCTGTTATTGCCAGCCATGATGTTCGTTTTTGTTCAAATTTATGCTTTTGTTAACAAAGGACAGCTTGAATTGCAATCATCCACAGACAAGAGATACACGTAGAAACCAATCATTAATGATTTAACAATAACTGTAGTCGCAAATAATGAAATTCGTACCAAAATTGTTTTCCGTGGAAATATTCGATGAAGCGTTCACGGCGAGGTCCATCTGAAACAAGGCCAAAATAACTTCTATTTTATTATTACAATTTCTATTAATAATTACCCAACATACTTAACGAATAAGGGTACGATGTACTTGAACAGGTATTTTTATCAGATGTCACATTAAAATAGGCTGCATGTATTACCGTAATATCTATTAAAAATCTTCATCTAATGTCATCCCTACACTGTGGATGTTTATTCATTTATCTGTTGCGTATATACATATATGTATACGAGAATAAGTAAAAATGCAAAAATATATGAAATGTCAACAAAAATATACACGTTACACCGTTCAGAAGATGAGGCATACTTTCATTCAAGTTTCAATGCTTACTCTGTATCTGTAGAAATATAAATTTGCGTAAACATTGATTGGTCTTGTCAACTGAAATTATCGATAATAAGCACAAAAAAGAGGCAACGAGTTAACACGGGAGGTAGAATGCGTCGAAGGCATGATTTATTCATACGTAGTTTGCTTCGTAAAATTTAATTTCCTGATAACAAAGTTCTAGCAGTTTATCTTTAGTAAAAGCTTAAACGCGTTGTACATGTTTTTAACTGCTTTATATTGCGTTATTACGTTATTAAAAAATCCCACCAAGTCATAAATTGCATATTTAATTGGCACGCAAAGGTTACCAAAGTATTTATTGAAAGCATTGAGATCTTCCACTTCGCACTTCATTTTTATTCCGAACAAACATGAATGAAAAATGTATTAATTACAACTGATCGAAGAGGCTGAACAACTGTTTTTTTCTCTCGTTGACGTAACAGATTGCAGCTGTTCTGCAAATCTAAATTGATTGATTTTTCGAACGAAGAGAACAAAATTTTTTTACAAACACATGTTTGTTTTATTCTTAAAACATTTAACAATACAACCAAAAAATCGTAGAATTGGTGCAAAATTTATTTTTCTTTCTGCTCTGTTTCCGTCGAATCGACATCGTTGGTTTTTCTAGTGACCGAAGTTGTCTCCTAATTGCACCACGAGAAAGAGGAATTTTTTAAATCCGTCATTACGTTCTAATCTCAAAACCATACAAAAAACAGAGCTGCTTCGTTATTGTAGCACACTCCTCAATTGTTTAGTCACGCGATCAATTCATATTGCGAATAGTAACGTCCAAGTAAGAATTTTAAAAAAATTTTTAAACATATCAAGTAAATTCTAGTTATGTCGAAGCGTTCCGATTGCATAGAAGTAACAGAAGTGTGAATAGCGTCGTTTGAAATAAATACGTAAAGCTTTCAAAGAGACGGCGTACCATATTCTGAAATACCCCCGTGCACAGTAATTGGTGCTCGGTACAGAAAATTGATTTGAAGGGAACGAGAGATTTTTATTACTTCGCAAATACAGCATACAGTCTCATTGTGTGGAAAGTTCGATGAAAGCTCCTTTGTAATTAACGAGAAATGGACCGCGAAATACTGTACTGCGACATGTCCTTGTATGAAATAAAACCGTAATTGGATTCATTTCACGAATGTGCAACTCCGTTTCGTAAGGGCTTTCAAATAAATAAAGTTTTCACACTTCATTTGAAATTTTCGGGATGAAATATCTCCAAAAACGTGAATACTTAACAAATTTAGAAACTTTGTCAATTGCAAGAGGTATTATGCTTTAATAATACTGTTGCCATTACAGTATACAATATTTACGTTTTAGTTCTTTGGTAAACAAATCGTTTTAGATGAAAACATATCATCGTCTGATCGATTTTAATTAATGTCAAGCGTTTATTGTTCTTCTCTCTTTATGAACAACGGTCGTAAACAGAATTAATAATCAAGCTTGCGATTGAAATAGTAACAAATCAAACTGTGCTGGGGATCCTCTTGAATGTTCCTCTTTAAATTCATGATACGTTGATGAAAATTGTACGTTTTATATCTATATAAATATCATTTAAATGGACATTGCCGTTCGATTGGAACGAGAGATTTCCATTGTAAAGGGTGGAAGACGTATAGAGTGAGACGTAGGAAAATTGGATATGAAATATTTGTGGTATCATTCGAATTGGTAGAGATGTCCAAGTGATTTTATTTATGTGATTCACTCTGTATGAAACCCACGTATTGGTTATTTTTTATTAGAAGTTCGTTGACGATTATCGTATAAAATTTACCGCGAACAGCGTCAAATTCCACAACCATTCGACACGTGAGGTTTTTCTTGAATTTTATCTCGAACATCTATAGATTCCGAATAAAGTATGTTTCATTCGGATATACCTGGATCAGACTCGTTGTAGAAATAGACTCCAAAGGTTGGAGACTTTGACTTTACGGAGAGATTTTCGAGTTCTTTAGAATTAAATGTCACTTCAGATGTTCTACATCGTTTTCTTTGAGAAATATGAAATACGGAATATAATACTGCCCGTAATTCAACTGAACGTAGTATGTTTTCATTTTGCTTGCAACGTTTTGTAATCGAACTATTCTCTGACTTTTTCGTTCTAATCTATGGTTTTTATATACTTGAAACGTTAATGTTTCAACGTTAAAGGTCGCGATGGAACGTCAAAGTATGTGCATTTTCAACGAACATATTACAACATGAAAAAAAAAAAAACAAATTTAAGCGCAGATAATTTGTTAATTGGCTCTGGCTGTATCGTATTGTTTGAAAATGGTATTGTTCGAGTATTTCAGTAACGTTCAGTTAGTATCATAATTCCATTCGTCGAATAATTGAATCACTGTAATCACTGAAACGTTTGAATCATAAATTCAAGTACTTCCACTACTAATTAGGTTTTACGTGAGTTTAAAGAGTATGCAATTGCCGTTCCGGTGTTTCCAACACTTGACACCGATGTATTTACTAGATGAAGCGAATCCGAGCGGCAATAGTGATTCAATTTCGTCTACTTTTAATTAAGGGTCGATAGTTAATTGTTCGATATTGATTCATTTTCCACGGAATGTCGCGTATCTCGAGTATGTGCCTCCTGCCGCATTCGCTGCTGCCTTGTTCACAACTTTATTCCACTTTATCCAATGTAATTGTATTCCATGGAAATTAGTCCCAGACTTCGCAAACATAGAGTACCATTACGAACATGTCGATATTATCTTCTACTTAGGGCTCTTCGTAATATTAAAATTTCATTTATTCTGTAAGTACCAGGGAACCGGTTCGGAGTGAAATTATTTCGCTCCGGAAACGTTTCACTCCAGGAGCGAATCAATTTTATATATTATAGTTTCGTTTCTGGAGCTGAATTGTTTTAAAAGAAGTGGTACAATAAATGTTCGGTTTCGGTTAAAAAAAGATCTACTAGCTGGAGAAAGTAGCGAAATTGAAACAGTTACGGAGCGAAATGTTACGAATTCTGTTTCGGTTCCTTTCGTTCGCTCTGAGGTGGTTTTTAGTGTTTTTACTATTTTCGCCACTTTCGATATTTTAATACTGTAATTTTCTTGGCTTTAATCTAAAAAGTTCGTTGTCAGTTGCAGTGCCCTTGATCAGCTCTACAAAAACTACATTAGGACACGTTCATCGTGTTTTTTTCTTAATCCTTAACAAAAAAAAAAAATGTTATCTTCTTGACTCTTCTTGTTGAGGTACTTCATTTATCCTAATTTGATTACTGTTTCGCTGGAACATCCATCTCCAAGTACATGTTCACATATTCGCTCTAGCTGCGAGAGATATGCGCAAACTATCGGCAAATGTTACTGAGGATCAGTGGATCGATTCCGTTAGCACTGCACAACAACCTCACACCTTCGCTGAACCACGGTGGTTCCTCTTTCGTGGATATTTCGTGGAAATTTCCAAATTTTCATTATTTTAAAATAATACTTCAGCGAAGCTTCGAAAAAACTGTCTACGTGAGAAATGTATCGAACAATGTTTCTGATTTCGGTTGTAAATCATGCCTAAAATCGTAGTAGTTGTTATCGCGTGTCCGAGTTACTTTGAAAAAATGTGACGAAACGTAAATCGTTGTCGGTTGTCTTACGCAGAGATTAATTGTGAATATGTGATATTTAATATCGTAAGGCATTAATTTATTTGTATCGAGAACTAATTCTATGACGAATGTATCGAGGAAAATGTACGAAAAATGTAAGGACGTTGTGTTAAACGCGACATAATCTTCGCGTTGGTTCACGGCGTTATGCGTCTAGTATATGCCCCGGTCACGAGGGACGTTTTGATAATACCTTGTTACTGCCATGCTTCCTCGGAACAATATGCACTTCGCGCTTGATAATGCGATTATGCCATTTGGGCAACGTAACACGATCGTTCGAGGGCCACTTTAATATGCGATGTCTTGTCTGAACGAGCAACGTTACAAGAAAGGAGATCGAAAGATTCAAGCTTAATTATCTTCAAAAAGCATTAAAAAATAGTAACTTTTTATTCGAATCATACAAATATTGTTACGCCTATTCTAGTTTCAATAGGGAAACACATACATATATAAGGTGTTTTCACCCTGAAGAAACGAATTTTATTGTGACCGATAATATAAATAGCTCAGAGATTCTTTTAGGATCCCTAACGGATATGGACAATTTAAACAAAAATCGGAATTTCTGAGCCGCAGAATTTCCCTTATGAGATCACTACGAGCTGGACTCGTAGTTTAGGCTGAATGATGTAATTAGGTACTCTATTCAAATTGACCAATGAAACTATCAACTTTGAACTACTGTAATGCAGGATACAAAGGTAGCACGAAAAAGATATTGCAAAACTTTTGGAATTTAATTTGAAAATTACTCCCCTTAAATTAAATGGGTGCTACTTTGATTAATAATTTCTTTTGAAACGAATAGTGAAATGGTCAACTTTCTACTATTAGATTTTTAGGGTGTAAAAGGCAGTATAAAGAGACATTATAAAACTTGTGTAGTTTAATTGAAGACTCTTGTCTTTAAAGTAAAGAAGTGGTACTTTGATGAATAATTTCTTTCAAAAAGAATACAAGAATGGAATACTATAGTCACAGAAACATCGGA